AAAGAAAGGCTATGTGGCTTCACAAAAAGCTGAGAGAGAATCTGGAAATAAGGAAGGGTGTGTAGAGGCCAGTGATGGCGAACCTTTTGGAGACCGAGTGCCCAAACTGCAACCCAGAACCCACGTATTTCTTGCAAAGGGCCAACACTGCAATAAAACCTGAAAATTGAGGAGTCAGTTCAGAAAAAACAACTCACAGCCAGTCCATATTATTTCCTCGGCAGCGCACTGATCAACCATGCAAAAGGTCAGACGAGTCACAGCTCGAGTCACGGCTTGTGAGGTCAATCCCTACTGCCTCTGCTCTGTTCTGAGCGTTTGCATGGCCCCTGTGCGCACTGTTGTCCGACGCTCGGCCGCTGGGGAGCTTCTGGAGCAGCTTAACTTGTGTGCCGACATAGAGGGCTCTGCGTAAATGCTGTGGCACACGAGCCATAGGATCACCACCACTGGCATAACCCTACCCTGATCCACTCCCCTAACCCTAATATGGAGGTAAAGTTCCATTGAAAAGCGGGCAATTTTGAAAAAGCCTTCCCTGAGTAGCTTTTTCTGCACTGCTCATCATCCCTGCCCTGTCTACACATATTCCAACCATCAAAATCATGCCATGACACCTCATTTTCCCAACCCTAACCCTACCCTGGTGAATACCCCTAACCCTAATATAAGGGTAAAGTTCCATTGAAATAATGCCATTTTTAAAAGGCCTTTCTTGAGTAGTTTTTTCTGCACAGCTCATCCTTTCTGCCCCTTCTAAATACTTTCCATCCATCAGAATCATGCGCAGACACCTCGTTTTTCTAACCCTAACCCTACCCTGGTGCACGCCCCTAATCCTAATATAGGGGGAAAATACCATTGGAAATAATGCCATTTTTAAAAAGCCTTCCTTGAGTAGCTTTTTCTGCTCAGCTCATCATTTCTGCCCCTTCTAAACATATTCCCACCATCAAAGTCATCCCAGGACGCCTTATTTTTGTAACCCTAACCCTACCCTGGTGCATACCCATAACCCTAATAGAGGGGTAAAGTTCCATTGAAAAGAGGGCAATTTTGAAAAAGCCTTCCTTGACTAGCTTTTTCTGCACAGCTGATCATTTTGACCTTTGTAAACCCATTCCAACCATCAAAATCATGCCAGGACACCTAATTTTCCCAACCCTAACCTTACCCTGGTGCATACCCCTAATCCTAATATAAGGGTAAAGTTCCATTGAAATGGGGGATTTTGAAAAATCCTTTGCTGAGTAGCTTTTTCTGCACAGCTCAACATTTCTGCTCTTTCTAAACCCATTCCAATCATAAAAATCATACCAGGACCCCTAGTTTTTCTAACCCTTACTCTACCAGAAGTGTGAATTCTCTCCTTGAATACTCTCAACTACTTCCCTTGGAAGCCCATTCCATATCCTAGGGATCCTAACCATTAGGAAGTACTTCCTGACATCAACCTGAAACCTGGATCCTTGAGCTTTGCCCCATTGAATGAACAGCCCACCCTCCACTGCAGGGATGAATAGCTCACGGCCCTCCTCCACGACATCCCCTCACCTGGTCACTAAAAGATCCCTTCAGAGTCTCCTCTCCTCCAGTCTGAGAAGACCCGGTTCCCTCGTTCTCCTCACGTGTCTCCCCTCCCAGCCCGGCTGCCATTCTTGTGGTCCTGGCCCAAACCGATTCTCACCAGCTACGTCTCTCCTATAATGGGGGGCCCAGAACTGGATGCAGCTCTCCATAGAAACATTCAGTAGGGAAAAATGCCAAGTTCTCTACTTAGGAACAAGAAACCAAATGCATCACTACAAAATGGAGAATACTTGGCTTAACAGTACTGCAAAGGAGAAGGATCTTGGAGTTGTAAATCACAAGCTAAATATGAGCCAGCAATGTGATGCGGCAGCAGAAAGGGCAGTTGCTATCTTGGGATGCATTGACAGTAGCATCACTTCCCAGACATGTGAAGTACTAGTTCCCTTCTACTCGGTACTAGTCAGACCTCACCTGGCATACTGTGTTCAGTTTTGGGCTTTAAAAAGATTCAGAAAATCCAGAAAGGGCCACAAGGATGAATCGGGCTGGAGGTGAAGCCCTGGGAGGAAAGGTTGTGGGAACTGGGCATGTGCAGGCTCAGGGGAGAGAAGATTCGGAGGAGCTGTGTGGGCACTCCACGAGTACCTCCGAGGCTGCCACAAACAGGAAGCACATGATCTCTTCTCATTCATTCCAGAAATAACTCTAAGAAACCAGATTTAGACTAGACACTAGGAAGAATTTCCTGCCTGTCAGAGCAGTACAACAGTGGAGCCTATTATCTAGGGAAGGCGCGAGCTCTCCACTACGCTACGATTTTTTTCTATGCTTGTATGAGGAGGGGACCGAGATGAGGTGCTCTGTCAGTCATGTGAAGGCTGTAGAGGCAGCCATGTGTCCAAATGACACTCGAGCTTTCCGGGATGCGGAAACCCTCGACGGTTTGGAAAAAGTTCTGAACACTGCACTTGGAGCTCATCATCCTTCAGACACGTCCTGGCTTCACAGACATCCTGCTGGGGCCCCTGGGTTTCTAGCAAGTAGTTCACCAAATACTAAACGTCGCAGTAAAGCAGCCAGCTTGGCCAGCTGAGAGCTGACGCAAGTGTGGCAGGACCATCCTGCCCACGTAAAGGTTGCTTTGGCGCAGCTGCAGTCGAGCATGGCAGTCGCTCCTGTAGGAAATGCCCGTCTGCTGGGCTGACTCGTGGGCTCAAGACGTTTCCCTCTGTACTTTGGAGAGAGCTTTCCTCTCGACACCAAGACACCAGGTGGGAGAAGCCCCCACCAGAAGGCACTTTTCTCCATGGCAGGAGAAGCCCCGGAAGGGGTTCCTCCTGTCACACAACCACTCAAGCCGGGCTTCGCTGCAGTTAAAATGTGGAAGAACCCCCGGGGTCCGTGGGCTGCAAAAATAGTTCCCCCTTGACCAAGGGTGTGGCCGCCATGCTGGGGGCGCATCCAGGGTGCAGCCGTCTGGTCCCAGAGGTGCCCGCCCGGCGTTTTGGGGCGGCCCACTGGCTCGGGGCCCCACTGGCCGGCCAGCCCCGCCTTCATGGGAGCCTCTCGCCCCTTCGCAGGTCGCGCAGGAGATCTGGGTGTGCGAGAAGCGGACAATCACCAAGTGGGCAGGGGACATCCTGTCCTACAAGGAGCACCTCAAGTCCAAGCTGGTGGATGAGGAGCCCCAACTCACGAAGAAGACCCACAACGTGTGAGCGCCGCGGGGGGCGGGGGGCAGCCGGCTGCTTCTGAAAGACTGGTGCCGGCCCCAGCCCAGGCAGCCTGGCCGGCTCCCCGCACCCCGCCCCCCAGCAATGGAAGATCAGACTGCCTTGCCACCTCGCCGCCGCCGCTCGCCCCCGCCCCGGTCCTCCTGCAGCTTCCTCCCTCTGCCGCCTCTGCTGCGTGGCCCCCACCCTGACGCGCCCCCCTTCTGCCCGAGGTGGCGCCTCTTCGTCGCTGGGGGGGCAGCTTGCCCCCGCAGAGCGGGTGGGGAGGGCGGCTGGCCCCCTGCTTCCATCTCGAGACTTCACTCCAACCTCTGCTGGCCTCCGTTTGTTTTTAACAATTATTTATCAGTGTCATTGCCGGGCCTGCCTGAGCAGAATCAGTCAATAAAGAGGAATTCACGTTTCCGTAACTCTGCCTCCTTGTGGTGAGCTTGAGCCGTCCGGCCACGAGGGCTGTTCTCGGGCGAAGGCCTGGGCCAAGCAGATGCAGCCAGGCGGGAAGGACCAGAGCAGCTGGGCCCTGTTGCTCACGGCCAGCCCGGACCACGTCTCGAGTCCACGCATCGCCTCCCGTGCATTTCCCCGCTTGCTGCAGGGATCCCCGGGGTGCTGCTGCTAGCAGTGGGAGTCTCCCCAAACCCTGGAGAGCAGGATGCACGTTGCGTGGGGCCTTGGCGGCCTGGCTGTGGGGCAGGTGCCACAGCTGCCCCGCATCATGCCGTGGCCAGCCAGCTCTTCAGTGGTGGCCAAAAGCGCCCCCTCTCATGCTTGTGCTCCCCAGTGGCTGATCTGCATATGCAACCTGGCTTTGACACTGCACACCAAATATAGCCACCCTTGGTGCTGGCCAGTGCCCTTTTCGAGCTGTGTGCTGTGTGAAGGAGGTCCCCCACCTCTGGCCCGAGTTTCCCCTAGTCAGCTTTTTGGGCCGATCCTGTGGGGCTGCATAACAGAGGGGAGTGAGCTGCTCCGTTCCTTGAGCAATCTGCCATTCCTCTCCCTCGCCTCCATGGGGCCTTTGCGCACTGGTCGCTGGGTGATACGAGGGGCAGTGCAGTGGCCCCCACCCTGCTTGCAGGCCTCTGTCCTGGCTGCCCACTGTGGATGCAAAATCGCCGGTCGGACGGCCCTTTGGGCTGGGCTGGGCCGGGCCGGGCCGGCCGCACTTGCTCCCTTCATGCAGACAAGCCAATTGCTCCCAGTAGAAAGCGGGCTTCACAGTTGTGGGAAAAGGGTTGGGGTGCGGATCCAGGGGCCCTTCCCCACACAGGCTGTTCCTGCAGTGGCCAACTAGATGCCCCCAAGCAGATGGGGTCCCAAGCACCCTCCTGCTCATGCGCTGGGTGTGGAGCTGGGGGATCAGTGGAGCTCACGGAGTCACAGCCTCACCCATCTCACAGGCCACTTTTGGGGCCAAGGCACGGCCGGCTGAGGGACCAGCAAGGCTTCTTCCCACTGCGGCCCTTTGCAAAGCGACATCCGCCACCTGCAGCGTCTTGGCAAGGCTGGAGGCAGAACGTCAGGCCCCTCCCTCGGAGTTGGGGCTTGCTGGCCCCTGGCACAGGCGGATCCCAGAGGCAAGCGCACGCAGGGAGTCCTGCCCTCCTCGCACAGTCCGGCCAGCTGTGTGTGGCAGGGAGTCAGGCCTGCCGGATGGGGAAAGCACGGCCAGCCGCAGCGAGCAAGCCCCGCACAATGCGGAGGCTGCCCCCTCCCGCCCAGCCTTGACTGCTGATGCCGCAGGGCCTAGCCAGCACCAGCTCTGAGCAATTGCAGATCAAGCGAGTGTCTTGCTACGGCCACCTTGGCTCCTGCAGGACGAGGGCTGGAGAAGAGAGCAAGAGGTGGGCAGTGCTGCAGTTCACGCAGCCGAGGGAACCTCCTCGGTCCGAAGCAGCAAAGGTCTCGGTGAGGGCCAGTCGGGGATGGTCCAGCGTGAGCAGGGGGGCCCAAGGCAGCAGCTGCTACTCTGACGGGCGGATGGGGAGTGTCCTTGAGACACTCCACTGGGGGCTCGCTTATCCCGCCCAGACTCCACTGGGGGCACGTGAACAGGCTGGGAATTAACAGCAAAGCTGGCGTGCGACGGTTCACCTTCGCTGAGAACTGTTGCTGGCAGACACACAACAGGAAGGCTGACACAGACTGTCGCAGGAAAGGGGGGCAAAGCAGGGCCGGATCCGTGGGAGACCAGACCTCGGGGATCCCGGACCCCAGCAAGCGTCTGCCTGGCAGCTGCCCTTGAAGAGTCCACTGGCTGCTGCACAGCCATCGCTGGGGAGCTTCTGGAAGTTTGGGGGCAGCCTGACCCTGTTCCTGCATGATGCAGTCTGGAAGGGCTTGTGCGCCATCAGGTTAGGGCTGCATTGAGCAAGTTGGATCCCCCAGCGAGCTCTCCGAGACCTTGGGCTCCCTCTGACACCGTCGCCATTCCCCACTCCTCAGGCTCCCACAGCTGCCCGCCCCCCCCACCAGCATGCCCAGCCACCACAGGCGCTCCCTACCCCAGCAGGCCCTGCCCGGCAAGCAGCAGGCCATGCACACACTGCTTCCTCCAACACCAGCATCTCCGAACTCGCTTGTTTGCTCCTTTGCGCACCAGGCCCGCAAGCTGCACACCACCCTCCGCAGCCACGAGGCACAAGCCGCACGCCTCCTGCAGCTGAGCCGGCTGGCCGAGCACGGGGCTCTGGTGGGCCTCAGGACTTCGCCCAGCACAGCGGTGCCCGCAAGAGACGGAGGACAATGGGGCCAAAGGGTCGTCTTCGCCATCCATGAAAGGCGCTGCCTCCCGCGGCTGAGAGCTTCTGCCCATCCTTGTGGGAATGGGGTGGATGGCGCCTGGGCCCACGCGAGTGGAGCAGGTGTCCTGCCGTCCCTGCGAGGTGAGCCGGCGCTCCCTGTTCCACTGTTTCCATGGGAGCGAGCGGGGACAATGGGGGGTGGGCCGCCGGCTTCCACCTCTGCGAAGTGACTTCGTGCCCTGCTTGGCCATGTGAGCCAGAGGGAGCCAAAAGGCGGCATGGCCAGCAGGTGGGCCGACCGTGCCCTCCTGCCCACATCAGGGCTGACTTGGCCTTGCTCCCGACGGCACTCTGGCCCGGGGCTGGACCCGCCTGGCGCAACCCTCGTGCTGGCCAGTGGGGCAGAAGGGGTGCTGTGCCCCTGCCCTCCGCAGACCTGTGGCAGTGCACCCCTTCGTTGCGAAGGCCTTTTGACCCCCAGGTGGTGCCAGGTGGAGATAGGGGCCTACTCGCCCACTGCTGGCAACGGGGCCAAGGGACAGGGCTGGCCCCCGGCATCCAGAGGGCTCGGTGCAAGGCACTGCAGGCCCTTCTGGAGGGTGCATCCCGATGCCCTGACCTTCACTGCCACCCACTGTCCTCCGGCTCCCAGGATAACTTCTTCAGCAAGTGACAGAGGGGTTTGCAGAGCCCCGTCCCTCGGGGGACCTGCCTGAGCTTCCCATGGGGGGAACCCGCTCCCAGTCTGCGGAACTGCCTGCAAGTAACCACGCAGTGGGCACGAGGGCCATGGCCAGGAGGTCCACTCCTGCCTGCAGGGCAACACTGCCAGAGACCCGTTGCAAGCTGCCGAAAGCAACCTGCTCCCAAGCCAGATGCCTGCGCAAGCGACTGGCTGCGGAGGCCGCTGGTGGCAGTGCCCGCTCCTGGCGCCAGGCAGGGCGCTGCTGGGCCCGCTCAGGGATGCGGTGGGGACCGCGGGCACCAGGGCACTTCTGGCAGGCGGCTGCTCAGGCGGACCTTCTCCTCCCACAGCACGTACGGTAAGCTGTGGCGGGAGTCCCGCTTGGCCCTGACGGAACTCCTGGCCCAGGAGCTGCCCGGTGAGCCGGCCAAGCCGGAGCGGAGCCGCTCGGTCTTCTACCACACCGTGGCCACCCTCTTCCTGCGCTACGTGCAGACGGCGCGGCGCCTCGAGGCCTGCTACGACCAAGTGGTCCACCCGCAGAAGCGCATCCTGCTCCGGCGGCTGCTCGACGGCGTGCTGGGCCGCATCCTGGAGCTGAAGCATGAGCTGGTGGAGCTGGACGTCTCCGAGTACCACTACATGGACCACGTGCTGCAGGAGCTCAAGCTGACACCGGTCAGTGAGTGGCTGGCCGGGGGAGCAGGACGTGGCCCCTGCAAATGGGCGGGCCGGCAGGCCAGTGGGGCAGGGGCCTCCCTGCTGCGGGGTCGGAGCCCCCGTTCTGCCCCGGGGTTGGGGGCCCAGAAGAGGGTGGCTGAAGGGCAGGGCCGGGAGCGCAGGTCCTCTCTGGGGCTGGCCCCCGTCTCATCTCCACTTGCGCTGCAGCCAGAAGGCACTTGCTCCTCTGCAGGCCGCAGTGAAGCAAGGCAATGACACTTCCTGCTGCCGCCCCAGCCAGCCGAGGAGGGGTGGGCAGAGGGGCGTGTGGGCAGGGGCACAGCCCGGGCCGTGGGGCTGGGAGGGCGAATGGGCCAGCCTGGGGAAGGCCAGTGAGGTGGTTTGGGCCCCCTCCTGCCTCCACGCTGGCCCTCTGGACTCTCGCAGCTTCCTCTGCAGTGACCGCTTGGGCCAGAAGAGACTCAGCCGCTGTTCCAGCAGAGCTCGCCCACATTGCGCGGCAGCTCTCTCAGCTGGGGAGGAGGATGGGGGGGGGGTCTTCAGGAAGCCTTTGCCCGGGTCAGACAGCCTCCTGTGGAGGTGTAGACCTACACTGCTCTTTCCCCTCTGTGATGGGGGAGGGATTTGTGCTTAGGGTGCAGTGCTGAAGCCAGGGAAGGGGCTGGAGGGGCAGCGTGGGAAGCCTTACTCGGAGCTGGACACAGGCAAATGCGAGCAAACGCCCACTGGCCAGCTTTCCCAGTGGCAATCAGAGCGAAGCCCTCCCACCCTTCGAAGAACCTGGCAGAGCTTTCCTGGGCAACTCCGTGTCGCGTGCAGGCTGTCTCGTTTCATCCGGCTGAGGGATGGTGCCTGGCTCAGTCCAAGAGCGAGCAGGCAGTTCCTTCCCAGAGGCAGGGAGAAGTGGGGCAGCTGCTCTTGAGAGCCCTGCTTGGCTCTCCAAAGATCTCAGCCTTCACTGAACCCGGATAACTTCCCCTCGGGCGAGGCCTCAGGCAGGCAGTTGCTTCTCAACCTCGGGTCCTCGACCCGGAGTCCTTGGATAAGCAGTTTCTCAGCCCATTTCATTGGGCATCAGAACGAAGCCTGGGTTGCACCAACCCCAACTGGTAAAAAGGTGCCTGCACACCACGCTCCCCGGGGCTGCCCCAGTTGCCACGTGTCCAGGAGGCCTCCTGGACAATAGCACACACAAAAATACAACATACTTGGCACAAGCTCATCCAAGACCAATGGTCTGCTCCGATCTGGACTACCTGGCTTCCGGCTCACAGTTCCTCTGCCTTGCCCGATCGAGTCTCTGCTTTTCCCTGCCACCCACCCCAAAGCAGCCACCAGGTGCAGGTCCAAGAGTTTGGCAGCCTCCCTGGGGCACATGGATGGACACGAGAGGTGGTGCGCCGCGCCCACCACCTCGGCAAGGAGGCCCCGGCCCGCCTCAGTCCGGCCGTCTGGGGAGCGCTGCCAGAGGAGAGCGTGGCTGACCGCGCCGGCTCCTCTTCTCAGGCTGACATGGAGGTGCCCATTCCCAAGTACTTCCTCAGTGAGCGTGCCAAGGTGCTCCAGGAGCGGAAGGAGGTGCTGGCAGGACTCCTTGATCGTGTGGGGCCCGGCAGGGCCACGACCGTAAGCCTCACTTCTGTCTGGGGAGGGCGGGGAAGCATGGGGCAGGGCTGAACCGCCGCAGAGCCGGAGATGCTGCTCTCCCCGCGCGCCGGCTGGCCGAGGCCACACAGCTGCGCCACGGGGCAGGCAGATCCTCTGCTCAGCCCTTGAAGAGGCCCGGCCTGCACGTCCTCCCTGTGGGGGGGAGACCGGCGCGGAGGCTCGCCTCACGAGGGGCGGCCGGCCCGGCTACAGCACGTGGCACGGCGGCGCAGGAGTGCCCGGGCACTGGGGCCTCTGCCAGGCCGCCACGCGGGCGAGCCGGCCATCCTCCACCACACCCTGCTGAAAGGGACGCTCTTCCCCAGCCGCCACGCGCCGCCATGCCGCGGGAGGAGGCGGTGAGGCTGGTGCAGATGGCCGAGCGGATGCGCCAGGGCCGCCTGCGGGCCCGCTTCATGTGGGAGATCCGGAGGGACGAGGAGCGGGAGAGGAAGGTACGAGAGGGTGGCCTCTCGAAGCCCAACCGGGAGCTAGCTGCCACCTGCATCCAGAAGGTGAGCCGCTGGCCCTGCAGCAGGAGAGGGGGCAAAGTCCGTCCGTGTTCTGCCCCTGGGCGCAAGAGGGAACCCCTGTCCACTCCCTGGGCCCTGGCGTAGTCCGTTCAAATCCTGCCTGGTGGGCACGTTCCAGGAGAGCGGCAGACCCCAAGGGGATCCGTTGGGCAGCTCCCTCTCGGAGTCCGTCTCCCCCTCCGGCGTCGGCCTCGGCCTTCGCCCCCTGGCTGCGGCGCTTCTCTGCCTTGGGGGGAGCCCTGCTGTTCTTCAGGGACAAGCTGGACTGACTGCTGGGCTGCTGCTGCTGCTGCGAAGTTTCTGGAACATGCGACGCTGGGGACAAGGAGGGCCAGGATGAGCGTTCGCTGTGGGTCCTTTGACAGTTTCTTCCGTGCAGCAGAACACCCGGCAACAGTTGTCACAGAATCATAGAACAGGAGAGTTGGAGGGGCGGCGATGGCCCCCGGGGCCACCCCCTGCCGTTGCAGGACTCCACGCCACCCACCCCACTCCCTCGCAGGGTTGTGAGAAATGGGGAGAGGAGGAGGGTCACGTCAGCTTCCCTGGAGGAGATACGAATGCGATGACCGGCGCATGCAAAGAACCGGGCCACGTTTGGACTGCGGGGAGGGAGGCCCAGGACGGTTCGTGGAAGCGGGCCGCCCCCTCCCAGGCTGCCTGGAAAGGGGGCTCCGGGCTGCTTCCGGCACCGGCAACGCGCGCCTCTCGCCCGGCAGATCTGGAAGGGACACGTGCAGCGGCGGCTCACCAAGCTGGCGCGGCAGATGGAGATGACGTTCATCGGCATGGTAAGCGCCGCCCGCCGGCTCTGGCCAAGCGGGGCCGTCTCCGTGCTTCCGCCCGCCGTCCCGTCAGCCCCAGCTGGGCCAGCTGCGAGGGGCGCGGAGCCCCCCCCCGCGGGGCCTCTCCGGCTTGGCCGGGCGGGGCGGGGGCGCCGTCGACTGACCGCCCGCAGCCAGCCGTGGGCGCCGGGACGGAGGGCCGCGGTCCCGGTCCCGGAGGAGAAGCAGCGGCTCGGCCCGGGAGCCGCGCCGTGCCTGCCCCCCTGGCCGGCTTGTGCCGCGCCGCCGGGGAGGGCCCGGCAGGCCGCGGGCGCAGGCGGCGCTCCGGCGAGGGGGCGGCCAGGCTCGCCTGCGGCCCCGGCGGGCTTGGCCTGGGGGGCGGGGGCGGTGCCGGTGCCGCTCCGGCGGGGACGGGGCGGCGCCCTCCTCCCCACATTAGCGAGTGTTTAGTTCAGCGTTTTAAATAATTGTGTCCTCGGAATGATATTTAAAATCCATTTGCGAGGCAATGAGGCGGGAAAGTGTCTGCGCGCCGCGGCCGCTGCCGGGCAGGGAAGCGCCGCGCGGGCATATTACAAACTCATTACGGGCTAATTTACACCGCCGCGCTCGGCTCCCGACTCCATTTCTCCTAATGGCCTCGCCCGCCGCCCCGCCGTCCCCTGCTCGGCGCGGGCTCGGGGACGCGGGCGCCCGGCCGGGCTCGGAGGGGCCAGCGCGGCCCACGGCGGCCACGTCTCGCACTGCCCCGCAGGAGCTGGAGCCGCACCGGACGGGCCCTTCCCCGGCCGCCATCCGCGCCCAGCTGGGAGAGGAGCTGCGGCGCATGCGCCAGGCGGACCACGAGGCCGAGTACCGCGACGCCCTGCTGCACGTGCGCGAGGCGCTGTTGGAGGCGGAGGGGCCGAGCCGGCGCGAGGCGCTGCGGGAGCAGCTGCGCCAGTGGCTCATCGAGTGCCAGTGAGCGGCGGGGCGGGGCGGGGCGGGGCGGGGCGGGGCGGGAGCGCGCATCACGCCCCCCGCCCCCGCCCCCCGCGCCTCACCAGCCCCCTCCTGCCCCGCAGTGACCTGACGGGCCGCTTCCCCGACTACCCCGAGAAGGAGATCGGGGGCTGCGAGGTCCTCTTCGCCCACAAGACTCCAGAAGAGGTACGGGGCCCGGCCGTGCCTGTGGGGGCGCCCACTGCCGGCACCCCCCGTTCAGCCCCGCCCCGGAATGCCCCATGCCAGCTCAGTCCCTCTGGGCTGCCCCTTCCCGCACCAGGTGAGGGCAGAGTTGGACCTGGCCGAGGCCAAGGCAGATGCGAAGAAGAAGGAGAAGAAGAAGGAGAAGGAGAAAGGCAAGAAGGAGGCAGAGAAGGAGGCAGACAAGAAAGGGAAGGAAAGAAAAGGGGTGAGCGCGCCCCCCTCCAGCCAAGCCTCGGCAGAACAGGACGAACGCAGCCTCCTGCCATCGGGTGCTGGGCGAGAACTCCTGAGAGGCAGCCCTCCCAGTGCAGCCCAGACCTGCCTGTGGGGGCACTGGGCAGCGAGGCCTGGTCTCTGGGGGTGGGGGGCTGGCCCGGTAGCATGAGCTGGCCTGCTGTGCTTGAGGGTCCCCACAGGAGGAAGATGAAGGCCTGACACTCTCGCCCTCCAAGTTCCTGGTGCCCCTCAACCAGGACTTCCTGCAGTACACAGGTGAGGAGGTGGGGGGAGAGGGGGGCTCTGGGCGCCCCTCGCTGTCTCCGCCTGACCACTGCACTGAGCGTGCCTCCCGGGAGCACAGCTGCTGCTGGCAGGGAGCAGCCAGACCGGAGGGAGCGTGTGGTGGACCGGGCCGGCGGGGCAGGCCGCTGCTCAGGGCATCTGCTCCCCAGAGCAGTGCGGGTCACTCCTTGCTGCGTGTGGGGTGGGGGAGCGCTCCCCCCAACAGACCTCACTTGCCTGCCTGCCAGCCGCACCAGTGGAGTGACTGCCTGCAGTCCTTCCTCAGGTGGGCCCTGCTCCAGAGGGCTGCAAGTGTCAAAGGATGCCCCCCCTCAGCAGCCCCACAGGGGCAGAGCAGGGCCAGGCCCCTGACGGTGTGCAAGGGGGGCTCCACAAGTGCCCTCCTCACCTCCCTCACCCCAAGGCTGCTGGAGTGACCAGGACGAGGCCATCAACTTCGAGCAGCGCTACGAGCCAGAGCTCATCAAGGCTGAGAAGCGGAGGGAGGTGGAGGCAGAGATCCGGCTGCAGGTGGGCGCTGGCGGGGAGTGCACTGAGGCCTTCCTGGGCTGAGCCTCTTTGGCGCCAGTCGGTCGCGTGGCCAGCTGCCTTCCTGCAGCCTCTCCCCTTTCTGGCCTGGCAAGGTGGACGAGCTGATGCGCGAGGAGCTCCGGAACCTGAGGCTGGCTGTGGATCTCGAGGAAACAAAAGCCGCGAAGCCCCCCAAGGGCAGGAAGAGTGCCAAGGTCAGCAGCAGGGGAAGAGGGCCCTGTTCCTCCCGGCGGGCTGCTCTGAGTCGGGGAGGTGGCCTGGCGGCCCATCACAGCATGACAGTTTAGGCCGCGGGAATTGCTTGGGGTCCGGTGGAGCTGCAGGGGGAAGCTGCTGTGCTTCTCCCGATTTGCAAGAACCATTTTCTCTCACTTCCTTGGAGCAGAAAAAAGGGAAGAAAGGCAAAAAGGAGAAGGACCTCACCCCTGAAAGGTACTCCCCCGCCCCGCTCCCTGTGTGGCACATGCTGCTGACTCCCCCGCTGAGCTCAGCAGGCGGATCCCCAGTTCACGCCTGCGGTGGAGGAGGGGTTTCTTCCCCCGAACCACCACGGTGCGTGGTGGCCTGGCCCAGCACCCTGCTTCCCACAGAGGGCAGCAAGGAGTCCCCATGAATTCTTCCTCCCTGGATTTGCGCAGTCCCCTTCCAGCCACTGATCAGTGGCCACCGCTTCGTCCTGTGGACGTGAGTTCCGTGGCTTCACTGTGCGTTGTGTGGGAAGGGGCTCCCCTTCGCCCGTCCTCAATCTCTCGCCCATTCGCTTCATCCACATCCTGATACGGTGAGAGGAGAATGTATTTTCCTGCCGCTTTCTTCTGCACCTGCTGCTCTGGCCCGAGCTCAGGCCTTAGATTTGAGTGGCCCCAAGAACTCGCTTAGCTTGTCCGGATTTACTTGTAAGGCGGCTTTATTGAAAAGGCCGGCAACTTTCCCCGAGAATCTCAGCGTCTCCGAGGCTTGGCAAGCAAGGCACTCGTGATGCTCGGCAGGAACCTGCCGGCTAACAGGCTCCAGTCAGTTGGAATGGGTGGTCAGTGAAGCCCCTTGAGGGTGGTTGGTGTCGGCACAGCACCAGCTCTGCCCGGGGCAGCGGCCAGCCTTCTCCTCAAGAGCAGCCTGCGAAGGCTGGCCACTGCCCCGGGCAGGGCCCCCGCCCTGCGCAACTCCCTGCTCCACCGGCAAGCCCAAATGTACAGCCTGCGCAGCACCCCTTCGTTGCAAGCCACGCGGCAGGAACGTTGTCATCCCCGCTAGCCAGCCACAGGTCGTAGCACCCGGGGCGTTGCTTCAGGATCCTAATTCAGCTAATCAGAACACCAAGCAGAAGCTCCTTGACTGGCCCGACAAGGTGGGAGCCCACACCAAGCACAGCTGCCCGTTTAGTCCCTTGGCCATCTTTCCCAGGGCCTCTGGAAAGCACCAGCTAGCAGGCTAAGGAAGTGGCAGCTCCAGGCCAGCATTCTACTTGTGCCGAGCAAGGCCAAGCACTTTCTGAGGCTGCAGAGTCTGAGAGTTCCGGCCCAACACCCTGCGTAGCTCGGGATGCCTCCGTCGTGGCTCCTCTCACTCGCCTTTTTCTAAGCTGAACAGACAGCGTAACTGCTCCTTACGGGGAGTCACTCCAACCCCCAGCCATCCGGGTGGCCCTTTTCACGCTGCTTCCACTTCTACGGCAATTTTTTTCAGATCCAGTGGCTGGTTTTGCAAATGTGGGTGCATCAACACTTTGAATGAAGGCAGTTTTTGTTGTTGACGCCTTTCTTAATTATCTGCAGCAGTTCCCTGCAGCTGTGCGCCAGACTGGCGTTTCAGCAAGCTCTCCACTGCTGCCCCACGATCACTTAGCTGCTTAGTCACTACTAGCTCAGGTCCCATCCGTTTATATGTGAAGCTGGGATGTGTCTGCCCCAGTGTGTATCACTTCATTTTTGCTTGCATCGAACTGCCTTGGCCCTGTCGATGCCTGTTCTTCCAGTTCAGAGGGAGAGTCGGGAGGGGCTCGTAAGGCCTGCAGGTCCAACCTGCTGTTACTCAGGGCAGGACTCAAAGCACCCCTGACAGATGGCTGTCCAGCCGCCTCCAGTGTGGGAGAGCCCACAGCCTCAGTTTAACAGGCAGGAGGTTTCTCCTGATGTTCAGCTGGGCTCTGGCTTCCTGTACCTTGGACCCATTATTCTGCGTCCTGGGAAATAGGCATGGAAGAGCGAGAAGAGATCCCAGCCATTCTCTGGAATTTCCTTGAAGTACTTCGGATGTGCTATCATGTCTCCCCTCAGTCTTTTCTTCTCCAGGCCAAGCATGTCCAGTCTGTATCTTTCTTAAACTATGGTGTCCAGATCTAGACATAATATTCAAGACAAAGCTTCATCAGTGCTGCGGAGAAGGGAACTTGTACTTTGCATGATTTGAAACATAGAAACAGGTCGAGTCAGAAGGGGTCTCCCGGGCCATCTAGTCTGACCCCCGGCTCCAGCCAGCTCCGCTCACAACATGCCCACCGTGTGCATGGCCAGCCTGTCCTTGAACACCCTCACCAATGGGGCCTCAACCACCTCTCGTGGAAGCCCATTCCACGCCCTCGGGGTCCTGACTGTGCGGAAGTGCTTCCTGGCATCCAAACGGGACCTTGGCTCCCTGAGCTTTGCTCCATTGGAGCACATCCTGCCTTCCTCTGCAGGGGAGAACAGGTCTCTACCCACCTCCATGTGACACCCCCTCACAGACGTACATGCCGCTAACAGATCCCCTTGGAGTCTCCTCTTCTCCAGGCTAAACAGACACCGCTCCCTCAGTCTCTCATACGGCTTTCCCTGCTATCTGGCCACCATCCTTGTGGCCCTTCGCTGCGCTGACTCTAACCTGAAGCTATACTTCTATTAATGCAGTCCGAAATAGCCTTTGTCTTTTTTGCAGCCATATCACATTGCTGATTTTCATTTGTGGCTTGTGATCTAGAACAATTCTGAGATCATCTTGCTTATAGTATTGTTGAGCCAAGTATTCCCCCATTTTGTAACTAGGCCCAGAAATTCCTTTTGGGACCCTCTTCAATTCTTCCATGTTTTAGCCATCCTAAATAATCAGGTGTCACGCACGTGGTTGGCTGCTTCATGGCTCACCCAGAGCTCCTGATCGTGTGTGAGCAACTTTTGACGCACCGGTCCCAGTGCAGACCCTTGGAAAGCTGAGTTTCCGTAGCGGCATGTCTGTTTCTTCTTGCTCTCCCCCTCCTGCTTCTGAAGCGCAGGGCAGGCCTGCCGTCAGACGGAGCGAGGCAGCAAGGCCACGTGACAAGGCAGCTCGGCACTTGTTTGGAGCACTGCATTTGCCTCTCGTGGAGAAGCGCTCGCGAAATTTTCCGCTTCAAATGCCCAAATGCAATGCTCGGTTGTCGCTCTGAGCCGTCCCCAGCGGTTGGGCCCCCCTTGCCATCCTGCCCCAAGCAGCAACATGTCTGGAGCCAGACCCACCCATGTGAAGGCCGCCTCTCCATCCCCCCACAGGAGCATTGGGCGAGCCTGGCAGGGCTTTTTTGGAACCTACCCGGGTACCTGCATCCATAGGTTTTAGATCCTCCAGAATCAGCGAGGTCAGCGTTCCCTCTCTGAGATCCACGTGGCCGTCCCTCCGCCGCGCTTGCCTCACACCATCCCTCTGCTCTGCTCCCCCCCCCCGTGGAGCCAGCCGTGTCCCCCTCCGCCCCAGAGCCCACAAACGGACCAGCCATGAGCACTCACCCGCAGCAGGATCCGCAGGGGAAGTGGGGAGTCCCACCCGCTCCCGCCTTCTGCCTTCAGCTTGTCCGGCCATGTCAGCCCTCTCTGTCCGCCCAGCCAGGCAGGTGCTGTGGCTTGCACCCGGGCTGGTACTGGAGACCTCTGGGCCCTCCGAGCCTAGAGTCACGGCAGTTTGCTGCTTCTCCTGCAGAACCATCAATTCTCTGTACGAGGAGCTGGTGCTTCAGGGCATCATTAAAAAGCCCCAGAAGGTGCAACTGGCGGAGTACTCAGGTGAGTGCATGGCCCCATTGCTTCTCCGCTCGCTTCCCCCAGAAGGGAGGCCGCCTTGAGCCGGTTTGAGTGTAAGGGGAGCATATGAAGCGCATCGATAGCAATACCAAACGCCAGGAGCACCAAAGACAGCTCAGAGCCCTCCTGAGGAAGAGGAGGCCCTTTCCTCCCCTCTGCTCCATTTGTGTGCCACCCACGAAGTGACGCCCTCGGGTTGGTTCATGGCCAGAAGAGCAGGCACATTAACGCATCAGTTGCCGTAAGCACATTGTTGCAATACAAGACAACCCAGACAGTACCTTTCAGGAATGCCAGCACTGTGACATGTCAGGTTTGCTATGCAATATCAACAATCACGACATAATAGCAATGATTATTTATCAGTAATGTGGGAGCACGAACCAGACCCTCCACGCAAGCCGCTCCTGTGCTCTGAGCCATCGGTGAGCAGAGTGAGCGGCGAGCGGCCGCCCCGGAGCGCAGCGAGCAGCCTGCCTTGCCGGCTGAGCCGCCGGCCTGGCCTCTCGCCGCTCGCTCGCTCCCATGTCCTGGCGCAGCCCTTGAAGCGCCAGCAGAGGCGAGGATGCTGGCGGGGCCCCTTCCCCGTGCGCCGAGCGCTCCTGCTGTGGCTGCTGCTCGCAGGCGCTGAGGGTCCCCACCAGGGCGGGCCGCCTCACTTGCACATGCAAGGCCCGAGAAGGGCAGCTGCTGCAGGACACCGGGGCGTCGCGCAGGCCCACCCGGCCCACTGTGGGCTTCTGTGGCTAATAGTTCTCGGTAGACCCCGTTTCCTGTTTGCTGGGCACACTGGCCGGAATCCAGTCTTGCAACTGGGCTTTCCTCAGGTCTGTCATGGGCAGGACGGTCACGTGTTCTGAGCCTTCAAACAGGTTGGTTGGAAGCTCTCCGCCTGAGCGTTCGAGGGCTGCGTTCTCCAGCTTCCCTGCACCATGTGTAGCTTCCCTCGCCCTTCTCTGCACCAGAGTCCCAAGTGGAGCGGCCGCTCTGCCCAGGGGAGCCGCGCTTGCCCTGCCCCTTTGTGCGCGGTTCCCAGCTTGACCGTGTGCTTTCGGGACAGGCGGAGCTGTGTGCAGTCACTTAAGGCGAGGCAGCAGCAGCCCCCTCCCTCCTGAGCCCTGGCCGGGCTGCATGCTCGCGCGTGGCCCCGCCTGTGCTCGGCCTTGGAGCCTCTTGGGGGCCTGCCCGCAGGCCTGGGACTTGTGCCCTGGAGCATGGACAGACAGCCTTTGCTCTAACAGTGCTGGGGGGCCTGCCGTGTGCCCAGCCTGATCCCCACCGCGCCCATGGGGGTGGGTGGCCCTGCTGCCTGGGAAGAGGGACCCCAACCCCGGCTGAGGGCGCGTGCCCTTTCTCCGCCCTTCCCTGCCAGGAGATTTCTGCTACCTGGGCACGCTACTGCGCCAGCAAGCGATCGAGCCCACGCCCTCGACGCTGGACGTGCGGCAGAACGTCGCCCTGTACGCTGTCCTGCCCCTGGGTAGGGCACCCCTGCCCCGTGGGCTCCAGGAGCTGCGCCGAGAGGCCACCCCCACGGCCGGCCGGCGTGCTCAGGCTCTCCTCGCCCTGCGCACCAGGCTCCCCGGTGGTGCACGAGCTGGCCCCCCCCGGTGAAGTCCCTCCTCCTGGCCGGGCCCGCGGGCACCGGGAAGAAGATGCTGGTTCACGCCGTGTGCACCGAGACCGGCGCCAACCTGTTCGACCTCTCCCCGGACAACCTGGCCGGCAAGTATCCCGGCAAGAGCGGCCTGCAGATGATGGTCCACCTGGTGTTCAAGGTACGGCCCGGCAGAGCAGGGGCGCTGCAGGGGGAGGAACGCCAGCTGCTGACCGGCGGGTGGTGGGGCAGGGACCCTTCCCTCCCCATGACAGGAGGAGGGATGGAGGAGGAAGCGGGCGAGCCTGGCGTCCCAAGCAGGCAGAGGACTCCGCAGTCGTCATTCATGCTACTGGCCATGGCTTGTTTAGTGGCAGGCTTGCTTTTGCCACAGCTGAGCTGGGCTCCTCCACAGCATCCTGGTCAAGGAACCTGGCCATGGAGGAACCTCAGTTCTGGGAAGGAAGCAGCATGCTGCTCAGAGATGGCGGGTATGGGAGGAGCAGCGAGAAGGGGAGAGCGAGACGGGAGCCCGTATATGTTTGATGTCTGCATCAGCCAGCAAGCAGTGCTGTCTGGGCAGTTAACATGGATTAAGCCCCGGAGTCAGCATCATAACACAAACCCTTTAAAAGTTTAAATCGAGTAAATACAGCCTGCAAGCCAGCAGCACTGGGACATGTGGCAAAGCAAGAACATGCTCAGAAGCAGAACTGTTGGCGGCCAGAAAGCCTCTGAGAAGACGGCCTTCGCCTATGTGAAGAAGTGGGTGCCAGGTGGCCCCTCTGGGGAGATCCCTCCACAGCCAGGGTCCTCGCCAGGGTCGTGGCCAACCTCGCCTGGCTCGCCAGCCGGAGGGCCTTGGAGGGCCTGCCGAGGGCACCGTCCTTCCAGGCACCTGCCCTGGCCACCAAGGGCTTGCCACCTCCTTGCAGTACTTGGGGCAGCTGGAGACCTTCCCACGGCCCTGTGCTCATCTGCGCCAGCCACCTGTCCGGCCTCGTCCGGCCTTTCAGCACCATGCCCGTCCTCTCCCATTTCTGGCCATGGTCGGGGTGGGGGTAGGAGAGAGGCAGCGCAGGCCCAGGAGTGAAGCGCCTGCGTGCCGCTTGCGAGGCGAGCAGGGCTGGGTTGCGCGGCACGTGTGCCCTACCTCAGAAGCGGGGCCAGAGGGCACCTGCGTTGGCTTGCGAGGGCTGGAAAGGGGCCCGCCCCGCTTTGGTTCTTCATCCTGGGGCATTCAGTCCCACCAGGAGCTCCTCTAAAACCCAGGGAGGAGGCCGGCACGCTCTGGCTTGTGCTCTTTCTGGTGCGCTGGAGCCATCTCTGGCCCTTCAGCCCACCACGGTGCCTCCAACCTCCACCACCACCAGGTGCAGCAGTGCGCTGAGGCACAGAAACGTGGAAACGGTGCAGGTCAGACGGGTCTCCCGGGCCATCTAGTCTGACCCCAGCTAGCTCCGCTTGTTGATTTCCAATGCGTGGGTGTCCAGTTTTTCCTGGACACTCTCACTGCTTGGACCTCACCCACCTCCCAGCCTGGGCGTCCAGGCCATCGGGGCCTCCCACAAGGGCAGTCAGCACAGTGTTGGTGGCAGAAGCACGGAGCACTCCTGCCTGCCTGAACTGGCTCGCTGAGGAGGGGGCTTCAGGGCCACCTGAAGGGTCGCAGTCGGGCAGTTGTTTTCAGCTGGGAAGAGGCCACTGAGATTTTGTCAAATGCACTTGCAGGGGGGTGGGGGGGAGAGGATGCCACAGAAGGTCTGAGCCAAGGGGATGCTTGGGGCCGCCTGGTGCCACTGCACAGTTCGCCTGATTGTGGCCTCTTTGCTGGGCTCCTCAGCTGAGCCGTGGCGGCACAGGCCCCAGCTGTGGGTTTCCTGGTGCGAGGCGGGGGCCACGCTGCCTGCAGCCTCCCCGTGCGAGATTCATCTCTGCAGTCCTGGAGGCTGCATCCGGCTTGTGCTCACATGTCCTTGCCGCCCACCCACTCCCCAATGCAGGTGGCCCGCCTCTTGCAGCCATCGGTCATCTGGGTGGGCAATGCCGAGAAGACCTTTTACAAGAAGGTCCCAAAGGACGAGAGGGAGGTGAGTCGCGGGGGAAGTGCTCCCCAGGCCCACGAGGGTGGTGATGAGCGTGACCCGCTGGCACCAGTGCCACATGCCGGGGGGGTGGGGTGGGGTGGGGATGCCTGGCATTGCTGATGCTGACTGGCCGCCGTGGCTCTCCCCCAGGGTTCCCGCCCAGTTCCTTCCTGAGGTGCCCCCAGTGAACGAGCGGGAGAGCCAGCGTGCCCGTGATGCTGAGGGTGGGGGCCGGGCCGGGGCGGGTCCCTCAGCCTGCCTGGCCCTGATGCTGCAGCTGAGGCCCCTTCCTCCTCGCACGCAGCTGGATCCCAAGCGCTTGAAGAAGGACCTGCCCAGGGCCCTGAACCTGCTGAGGGCTGAGGACCGGGTGCTGCTGATGGGCACCTCCAGCAGGCCCTACCTGGCGGACCTCAAAGGGCTCTGCAAGACCTACACACGGATCCTGCTCCTCCCGCGGCCGGACTACGCCTCGCGCTACGGTGAGGGGGCAGAGGGAGTGGCGCTGGCGCCCGAGCCACCTGCACACCCACTGCGCTCCCTCCCTGATCGAGTGCGGAGGTGCCAGAGGGGCGCACGTTGGGCGCGTTGCGGGGAATGTCTGAGCATGTGTCCATTTAGGACTTCTCTGTGCTGCCCAAAGGCCAATGTTCTCAGTGGGTCTCCAAGCAGCCATTGCAAAATTTCAGGGGTGCCATGACAGGCAGGCAAGCGGGGCAGCTCCCGTGCGGCAGTCCTGCCTTCCTGCCCAAAGGGTTCTTCCAGTCTTCAGATTCCTAATGTTTCTGTCACTTAGAAAAACTTCAGCTTGGAGACCGACCGCGTAGGCATCCCATGAGAGCATGTGGGGCCCAGGGAATCCGTGGGGAACGGGTGAAGCCACGTGATAGGAGGTGCAGGGCCTCAAGGCACCCGCTTTGCAAGTGACACGTTCCGGCGCTGCCCGCGCCCTGCATAGCCGCTGCCTCGCCTCAGCTGACGCCTCGGGGGCGGCCCCGGAAGCACCATGGCGCCCCCTTTTGGCCCTCCCCTTGACAGCACAGGCAGTGGGCCCCACCAGGCTTCCCCCCCTCCCCTGCCGCCCAACAGCCGAAGCTCCTTGGGCGACCCACGCAGTTTGCTCTCTGCATCAAATGGTCTTGGCGCACGGGCGGCGAGGCTGCAGCCCTGAAGTGAAGCTGGAACGGGCATGTTTGGCGCGGGAACCCAGCGACTGGCAGAGAAAGCGCGAGACGCAGCCATGGCGCTGGAGTGCCGCTGATTCCGAGGCGTGTGAGCGAGCCCAACTGCAGAGGCCGCGGCGCACCGGGCAACGTCTCCCCCGCAGGACCCAGCCGGCTGGGCAGCAGGGTGGCCGCCAGGCATCCGCCGGGCCGGGCCTTCGGGGGTCCAGGCAGGGGCTCACAAGCGCAACAGGACACGCACGGAGGCTCGCAGGGGCCCAAGGCACTGGAGGGAGACCGTCCTCAGTCCAGGCCATGGGGAGATGTGGGGGGGGGGTCTTCCCTAGTTTATTTACTCAGCCGAAAATCTATGCAACCTTGTAAGCTATCCAGCAAGACCGTAATGGCATGATCCGTTGTTTTCCCCTTCCGGCTTCCGGACGAGCACAGTAGCCTTTCCGCGCATCTCGTGTGCATTTCTGAGTTTCACGTGCGCGGTTCGTGGCCGCCTTTCCTAGCACACGGGCTGGAGCCCCGCCAGTGCTCTCCCCACAGTATCGAACGGACTCGGCTTAGGGGATCCCAGGAGTGCGCAGGGCACTTCCGAGCTCGTCCCTGAACTCTGCCAGGAGCGGCTGGGGAGGGGGTGGCCTGGCCGGGCCTCCCCTGCGCGGTCCCAGACTCGCCCTGTGCGCACACCGGCCCATCTCCGGCAGACTGCGCCACGCTGCCTGCGGAGGCTTGCGAGACCCATGGCAGCATCCACTGGCCGGCCGGGGCCCTTCGCGGAGCGGGGACTGGGCCTGCGGAGCTGCTTCAGGGGCCTCTTGCCCGGGGGGGGCTCTGCCTGGGCCACGTCTAGAGCATTTCGCGTGGTTGAAAGGGAGCGGCTCCGATGCTGCCCAGGTGTGGCCAAGACAGCACCTGGGCAGCTCTTTGCTCTGACCTGGGGAGCTGCTGCCCCAGGAAAGCAGAAGCGCATGTCGTGGGCTCCCGGGGCGTCGCGGGAGCAGCTGGGCTGTGCGCTGCTCCCTGGGCAGGAATTTTCGGGCAGGAGAACTGGCTCTTCTGCAACGCAGCCGGGCCTCTGCTCCTGCTACTTGTCCCGTGTCGCATCCAGCGGCGGGCGTGCATCCGAGCAGCCCCAGCAAGTGTTCGGGCGAGACGGAAGCAGGTCTGACCCTCTGCTCCCCGTTCTCCGCCCATGCAGTGACTTGGCAGCGGCTGGTCCAGAAGCACGGAGGGGTCGTGACAGGCAGCCTGGATCTGAGCGCGCTGGCCAAGGTGTCGGACGGCTACAGCCAGGGCAGCATGGCCCAGGCCGTGAAGGCGGTGCTGAGCGAGAGGCGCCTCCTGCAGCTCCCCAAGAGGCCCCTGAATGCCAACGAGCTGCTCCAGATGCTCGCCCGGGAGGACCCCATCTACCCCGAGGAGGAGGAGATGCTGAAGGTGGGTCGGATGCTTCCCCACGAGCCCCCCCCCCCACCCTACCCTGCCCTGCCCTGCCCTGGCGGCCCAGATTGGAGTGAGGCCCCCAGGGGCTGCCCAGCGAGGTGGTCCAGGAGTCGGGCAGCCTCTTCCCATTTTTGCTTGTCCTTTGTTCCGGGAGATGCTCCTGCTGGCCTGGGGGGGTTTAAATGTGGGGGCAGGAGGGAGGCATGCGTGCATGAGTTGCTCTGCTGGGTCAGTTGGCCATCCCATCATGCTGCTGCCCTACCTGTCGGCCATGGTTGCCATTCAGGTATCTCACAAGTTGGGGGGGTGTGCATGTGTGTGTGTGGGAGAGCGAGAGCGAGCAAGGGGGCAAACGAACTGGGCCAGTGCCACCCAGTTTGCACCCTGCTGGGCACACTTTCTGCAGGCGTACAGGAGGCTGGAGGGTTCGGCTCCTGCCGGCCGGCCTCTTTTTCAGACACAGACATCTGTGCAAAAGAGTGGTAGGAAGAACCTGCAGCTGCTCTGCGCTCTGCTCCTCCTGGACATTCTTGATGTCCAGCAGCCTCGTTCTCTGTTTGACCATTTTCCCGCTCCTGCCTGCTTCTGGTATGCTTATTGACTTATCTGTTCTCATCTGCTTTAGGAACCTGCTCCCAAAACCCCATATCTATTTTGCAGACTTTGCATTCTTCTCTGAATGCACGTACCCCAAAAGGAGCAGTCTTTCCTTCTGCATTCTCAGCTTTGCTACTTAACTGAACTGGCTCCTTTTAAGCTTGGCTATACCCTTTGTAATCTCCACTCGACATTTTATTTGTATCTCTAGTACAACATTGTTATTGTTTTCATTTATTTTATTGTGAATTTTACCAAAACCAAAATTTAAATTTTAAAAAACCTGAAATTAACAATGGCTGAAATGAACATCTACCTATCAGTCCAGATTAGCAGCTATACGTCAGCTTCGACAAAGACAAACTAAATAGCCAGGCGTGTGTGTGTTCAAGGGTGGTGCATGTACATTAGCCTTCCGAATATTGAAAGTATTGTCAGGTCCTTGATCCGTTTAATTATCAGAGATGAGCTTTTTTCTTCCCTGTGTTGTAGTATCGGTCAAAAGGATGTGAACGATCCATTTCTGTTGACCTGGCTTTAACTTGCAAGAAGCAAGCAGACGGTTTGAAGGGACAGGAAAGGCCACGCTGGATCAGTCCGTCTTGTCAGCACTCCAGTCCAGGCACAGGATCCCTCAAGCAGGATGCGCGCAAGACCTCCGCCTGCCCGGCCCCTCAGCAACTGGGGGGTGCAGGCAGGGTGCTTTTGGCAAAGGAGGGAGCATGTGGCCAGCACGGCTAGTGGCCATGGATAGCCGCCGCCGCCGCCGCCGCCGCCTCCTCCATGGAGCGGTCCAATACCCCTTTAAAGCCACCCAGGTCGGCAGCGGTCACCACTTCCCGTGGCAGTGCATGTATCCTGTGATAGCTCATCAATCACTGGGGAGCTTGGGCAAGTGGAGGTCATGCAGCCCCCGCACGACGGATCCGGCGGGCAGCTGTTTTGCCACCACGTGTATGGAGTGCTGGGCTGGACGGGCCTTTGGCCTGATCCAGAACGGTGTCAGTTCTCAACGCCTTAGTATTTACCTTGTCCCTGTGAGCATTCCCAAGCAAGCAGCAGACTCCAGGCACCATCCCAATTGCCAGCTGGCTAAGTGGCCTTGTGAAATGATATGTCTAGCTGACATCAAGTCCGACTTCGGCCAGCTAATAGAATAACCATTTCAGCAAGAGCATTAATCAGCTGTACCAAAGTAGACACCTGGTTTTACAAAATAAACAATAGCAAAACTTTTGCACAAGAGATAACGTTGACTTCTAAACAATTAGATACAAAGCTACGTACACTCATTTTCTGTCGCATAGCACCTGCCAGGGTTTGCAAACATAAATCCGGCCTCAACCTGCCCGCGCAGCTCGCCGGGGTGCCCCATCCTGCCTGCCGTCCGACTGTCCCCGTTGCTGGCAGCCCCTCCCGCCGTGGCCACTGGTCACGCTCCCCCTCCACCCTGGCGCTCTCGCCGTGTGGGCAGCAGCCCCCCCTCCCTGCTTCCTGCCCCCCATCCTCCCCCACAGGGTGGGAGGGCCTCCCACAGAAGGCGCCCCTCCCTGTGGCCCCAACCCCATGAGCCCCCCGTCTCTCCGCAGGAGTGGTACACCAGGACTCCGCTGGGCAAGCGGAGACTGAAGGAAGAAGAGGAGAAGCTCAAGGCTGCGGAAGCGAAAGACAAGAAGAGCAAGAGGAATAAATAGGGGCCACGGAGCGTCCCTCCCGCACGGTGGCGGCAGCGTGAACAGGCGTGTGGGCCCTCTCTGTTGTGGGGGACCAGCCCGCAGGCCAGCCAGGCGTGACACCTGACAGTGTCCCTGGGCAGCCGGTGCCCGGCAACGGGGCCAAGGCCCTCCAGCCACTGGGTGTTGCTCAGGCGTGTGCAGGCTTTGGGCCGGGCGAGGGGGGCTTGGCCGAGTTCCGATGCAGAGAGGCGCATGTTCTCAGCAGCTGACTTCATCGTGGGGAAGGGTTCTGTTAGCCGCTGCCCCACTTTGGGGCATGAACCGGGGGGCTCCAGGCCCCTGTGCTGCCTTCGGTGTCATGGGGTGGACAGAAGGTGCGTCAGACAGGAGGGTGGGAGGCAGCACTGGAGAGCCTCTCCAGAACAGACCGAAGGGGGTGAAGTCCTCGCCAGGGCATGAAGCCGCCGCCTCCAAGGGCAGCTGCTTGGGAGGGAAGCGGGCAAAGTTAGGTCTTTGGGAGCAGACTGGGGAGCCGGAGGACTCCGTGGGGCTGCCCCGGTGCCAGTGCTGCAAGGCCTGGGGCCAGTGGGCCGTGTGGCCAGGAGGCGGCATGTGGGCACCTCAGAAGCTGCCTGTGCGGAATCGGGTCCTGCTTTCTGCACCCAGCCTCGTGGCACACGTGGCTCTCCTCCCGTGGCGCAGACGGTGCTGCTTCCTGGTCTTGCCTGGAGACGCTGTTGGGGACTGCACTGGAATCCTCTGCAGCCAAGCCAGACCCCCACATGGATCCGGATCTGGTGAGAGGCACGGCTGCAAAGGGAGCTTGGTCCTTCATGCGCTGCACCACAGAATCGTGGAATGGTAGAGGTGGGAGGGGCCGGGGGCATCGGTTCCCACCCCCTGCTCAGTGTGGGGCACTCCCAGTGAAGCCCTTCCTCTGAGATGGCCGTCCAGCTGCATCCTGAAGGCCTCCAGTGTGGGAGAGCCCACCACTTCCCCAGGCCAGGGGTTCCACTGCTGTACTGCTCTAACAGGCAGAAAGTTCTCCTTGTGTCTAGCCAGCAGGTGGCTTCCTGAAACTTGAGCCTGTTACTCCATGTCCTGCACTCTGGGATGGTCTGTCCTACACACTGGGGAACACGTGGCTGAACAGAACTGAAGAAGAAAAAGTCCACAGAGTTATTGTGGATAGCTGGCTAAATATGAGCCAACCATGTGATGCAGCTGCCAAAATGCCAAATGCTACCTTGAGCTCCATCAGTGGCAGTATTACTTCCAAATTACAAGAATTGATTGTTCCCATATACTCCTCACTAGTCAACCCTCATCTGGAATACAGTGTCCAGTTCTGGGAACCAAGGTTTAAGAAAGATGCAGAAAAATTAGAAAGGGTCCAGCAGAGGGCAACAAAGATGATCCAGGGTTTGGAGAGCCTGCCTTGTGAGGAGAGACTGGGAGAACTGGGCATGTTTGGCCTTGAGAAGAGAAGGCTGAGGGGGGACATGGTATCCCTCTGTAAGTACCTGAAAGGTGGTCAAAAGAGGAAGGCCAAGATCTCTCCTCACTGATGCCAGAGTGTAGGACACGGAATGATCAACCCAGGTCCAGGCTGGACATCAGGAAAAGCTTCCTCGTGGCCAGAGCAATGCGGCAGTGGAAGCAGCTGCCTGGAGAGGTGGGGGCTCCCCCACCCTGGAGACATTCAAGGCGAAGCTAGGCAGCCCTCTGAGTGGGATGGTATGACCTGGTGATCCGCAGCAGCAGGGGGCCGGACCTGATGCCCTTCTTGGCCCCTTCCAACCTATGAGGGCCACGCCATAGGGCTGATAGGGTGGTCCTGCCCCCCATCTCAGCACCCTCTGCTGCCACCTGTTGGAATTGCTGCTCAGGTGACAGATGAGGGATGGAGACCTTGTGAAGATCTGTCCTGCATGCGGCTGGACGGGACGCGCTTACAGGCCCCTTCTGACAGTGATGTGCTCCGATTCCAAGTTTGTAAAGCTGTCCTGCTATGCTGGACCCACTTCTTAAATTGTGGGATGTGTGGACCCATCTTCCAGGTTCTCGGCTGTTTTCTGTCCAGGTGTGTTGCCTTTCTATTTCCCCTTCTGCTTTTTATGGACACCCCAGATAACCTCGCTTGGGGCTCTCAATCCCGTGAAGCCAAATGCTGCAGTGCAGGTGCGAAGAAGTACAGCCTTTCAGGTGCTGCTGGACCGCATGGGTTGGGTGGCAACTGCAACCCAGTCGCTACTGGAGGGCTGTGGGCTCCCACCTGTGAGCTCCCCAGTTCACGGGGGGGGGGGGGCCAGGTGGCCGCCCGAGAGTTCATGGGCGAAGCGTGGCGTGGGGGCCTTTCCGGCCGATCCTCCTCAGGGCTTCGGGATTGCATCCAGTCCGCTGGAGGGGAGAGGTCCATGCAATGGCCAGATTGGGTATGGAGCAATCGGTCCCTGCCCAGGCCGGGGGGGGGGGGGGGGGGGGATACATCCTCCAGCTTCCCTTGGCTCAGAGATGCTCATCCCATTTGCTTGCGTGCACGTAGGACAGGCAGGGCCTTTCACAGGAGCTGCCTCCGGGAGGCTTGTGCCTCATCCTGGCACCACGGGGTCTGGCCTGGGCTCCCAAAGGCCAGAGAGGGCCAGCGGAGGTTCCGGGCACGTCCGGCCCAAAGGTGGAGAGCTGGAGACATGGGTGGCCTGCAGCCACCTCTGCCATCCCAGCACACAGAGCTTTGCTGAGCCCTGGGCTTCCTTGGGGGAGCTGGCTGAGCCCGGGGCTTCCTTGGGGGAGCTGGCTGAGCCCTGGGCTTCCTTGGGGGAGCTGGCTGAGCCCGGGGCTTCCTTGGGGGAGCTGGCTGAGCCCTGGGCTTCCTTGGGGGAGCTGGCTGAGCCCGGGGCTCCTGGCTGTGCCTGCAGCGTTTTCCCCTACCCTCTGTTTCAGCAGCAGGGACTCTGTGGCCCTGCCAGGACTGTTAATCTCTGTAAGAAACCGCACTGGAGGCGGGGGAGTTGAGCGACCTGCCCGGCTGCCCAGGGAGTGCCTCCCCGGTCCCAGGTGCAAGTAGTGGGTTGTGAGTTTTCCATGCCAATGAGAGGCACTCTGCACATGCTTGGGAGCATGTGCTACTCTTGGTGGCATAGGCCAAGCCTGACACAAAACACCTGCCTTGGCTCAAATGCCAAGTGTATTTTGGGAGGAGGCGATAAGCGAGCTGGCAGCGGGCAGGCCACAGCTATTTATGACGGCTGAGTCAGGCCGAGACGGCAAGCGGCACACCGCTCTGCACGGACGGGCACGGCTCGGCAGCAGCCCAGGAGACGGAGTCCACTTGCCTCGGGGAGCCATGTCAAGGCCCTCGTCCTCCAGGTGGCGTTCCTTGCGGCAGCAGCCGTGGCAACGGGGCTGGGACTGTGCCAGGAGGCCGGGATCCTGTCCAGGGCTGAGCACGAGCGCCCACCGGGAGCCCCTGGAATGCCGGGACATGGTGCTGCAGAACGCCCTCTACACGGGGGACCTGGCCGGGGTGCAGCGGCACTTCTCAGAGCGTGCGGAGGTCAACCTGGTCATCCACACCCAGAGCAGTGACCTGCGCTGGACAAGCCAGAAATGGGGTAAGAGGAGTGGCGGAAGTGCCGGACTCGCACCTCGTAGGCAAATGTCGAAGCACCTGTCCAGGAGCGCGTGACGCTCATGCAGGGTCCGGAGTTGGACTGAGCAGGGCTGAACCCAAGCTAGTTGGGGTGATGAAAACTTTTAACAATGTTGGGAAAGGTTTCTATTAATTATAATAATTTATTGACCATTTTAATTAGCTGTTATTCCAGAATGTAAGAGCCAGTCTATAGCTTGAATTAAAGAAACAACAGCTAACACTGCAATTCTGAACACATATCGAAGACTAATACCCAGCGGAGCAAAGCTCAGGGAACCCAGGTTCCATTTGGATGCCAGGAAGCACTTCCTCACTGTCGGGACCCCGAGGGTGTGGAATGGGCTTCCACGGGAGGTGGGTGAGGCCCCATTGGTGAGGGTGTTCAAGGACAGGCTGGGTATGCACATGGTGGGCGTGTCGTGAGCAGAGCCGCTCGGAGTGGGGATCGGACTAGATGGCCCAGGAGGCCCCTTCTGAGTCGCGCTGTTTCTGTCTTTCATGCAAAAGCCAGTGAGCTCTGGGCTAGTGGCGGCTGACCAAGAAGCTTGTGGCAACAGCGCAGTGCGAAGGACCTCCGGTGTGCGGCTGCACTCAGGGCTGAGCTCGCGCTTGGGTTTCACTGGGAGAGGCACTGCAAGTAGAACTGCCTGAGTCATGGTGCCCTTGCACAACTCTGCTATCTGACCGCAGGAATCAGGAATACTATATCTGGGTCTTGCCTCACCTCGGGAAGAATATTGCAGAGTTGGAGAGGGACTGGAAACTGAGACAACTATTCAGGGTTTTGGTGTAACCAGCTTGACTCCTCATGTATTTTTATGTTCTTCATGAGGAAGATAATTTTTAACTGCCAAATGCACATTTTGGGAACAAGAAGAGTCATGAAAATTATTTCTGTGTGATGAAATATGAAAATAGCATGTATTTCAGTCTCGGGTGAATCTTACTGTGGATCTACAAGGCTGATGGGTAGCAATAAAACCCTTCTGAAATCTTTGCGAAGAACCCAAATTGCCACTTCGGGCCAGGCCTGCATTGTACATGCACAGTAGCCGGCCAGCTGCTGGGGGGAAGATGCATGGGTACAGTGAGCGCAGTTGCAGCCTGGTGTTCCCCCGTAACCGGTGGAGACGGGCACAGTGCGCCTGTGTCTGGAGGTGGCATGGTGCCACCGTTCCAAACCCCGCAAAGTCCTAGTTCCCCTCCACTCAGCCCTTGTGGGGCTTCGCCTGGAGTCCCGCGTCCAGTTCTGGGCACCACAGTTGAAGAAGGGGGCAGCAAGGATGAACCAGGGAGTAACAACAAACTGCTTTTAGGAGAGATGGAGAGAGCGGGGCATGTTCAGCCTCGAGAAGAGACGGCCGAGGGGAGGTACGACAGCACTCTGCATGCACGTGAAGGGCTGGCCAAAGAGGCAGGCCAGGACCTCTCCTCGACCATTCCAGCGTACAGGGGCCCGGGGGGGATGGGCTCTCCCACGCCAGAGGCCTTCAAGGTGCAGCGGGCTGTCTGGCACTGGGCAGGGGGTGGGCCGCGGGCCTTCCGGTCCCTGCTGTGATCCTGCGAGGACCAGGAGCCATGCACAGCCTTCTCCTCCATGAACCTGCCCAGTTCAGCTTGACGCCATCGCGGGATCTCTCGGAAGTGAACTCTGTTGCTCAACACTGCCCTGCACTTGCCCCTCCCTCCTCACGCCTCCCGCCCAGCCCTGCTGCAGCCCCCACCCTTCAGCGGGTGGCCCTTCTGGAAGTCGGGGAGGAAGAAGACTGAGGCGCCGGCGTCCCCCTGCTGCTGCTTCCCATCGACACCTCCGTGCGGCAGACCCCGAGCGCTCGCCTTAGCACTGGGAAAGCGTCCGCCCGGAGCCAGGCCCTGTGCTGGGGGCTCTCCGCAGGAGGCACCTGCAGGCCATCTCGCCCTGACCCCACCGGGCAGGGCAGGGCACGGCTGCAGCCTCCCTGATGCAGCGCTGTTGCGACCTCGGCGAAGGAAAGCCCGTCTGTCCTCTGCCCTCTCCGAGGGTTCTCCGACTGTCACGCTGGGCACTGCATGCAGAAGTCGTGGAACCAGCATGGGGGGGACAGTCACGAGGACTTCTACCCTTTTGCACCTATGACCCGCTTGGAGGACAAGAGGGGGGTGCAGGCTGGCTAATCAGCTGCGGTGACTCCCCAGAGTGTGCATGGGAGCAAGACTAGGACAGGCTCCTTGGGCAAAGTCTGGTCAGCCCCATGGGAAAATAGGAACAGAGCGAGTCAGAAGGGTCCTCCTGGGCCATCTAGTCTGACCCCCAGCTCTGGCCAGTTCTGCTCACAACATGCCCACCATGTGTGTGTGCAGCCTGTCCTTGAACACTCTCACCAAGGGGGCCTCCAACACCTCCTGTGGAAGCCCATTCCACACCCTTGAGATCCTAACCATCAAGAAGTACTTCCTGGCATCCAAATTGAACCTTGATTCCCTGAGCTTGGCTGTGTTGGAGCGCATCCTGCCTTCCTCTGCAGGGGAGAACAGGTCTCTACCCACCTCCGTGTGACAGCCCCTCACATACCTGCATGTCACCAACAGATCCCCTCTGAGTCTCCTCCAGGCTGAAGAGACCCAGTTCCCTCAGTCTCATACCCTGCAAACCGGCCACCAACCCTGTGGCCCTACGCTGCACTGACTCTAACCTGGCCCAAAACTGAACACAATGTTCCAGTTGCAGAGTCGTATAGAGTGGCAGTAATCCCTCTCTCGATCTAGAAGCCACGCTTCTGGCTCTGCAACCAAGGGTGGCATTTGCTCTCTTGACCACCACATCACACGGTTGACTCATGTGTAGCCAGCAGTCAACCAGCTCCCCGAAATCTCACAAGCGCAGCAGTGGCCGGAACGGCAGGGGCAGGGATCAGTTCGTGACAAGATGCAGTGGAGCAGCACACAGGCTGGCTTGGCATGGAAACAGAATGGAACGGGGGCCGGCATCAGCGACCCAGTGGCAGAGGGCCGGAAACCCAGCCGTCTCCTCCCTCGCCAGCCTCCAGGTCCCTCTTCTCCCGTGGCTGCAGGCACATGTGCCCAACTATTTCATTGCATGTTTAATGTGCTCTTGTGAGCTGCCCAGGGAGCTTCAGTGGTTGGGCACGGGAGGGAGGGAGGCCAGGCCAGTTGTAAGGGGGCCCGGCCCCCCACGCCAACCAGTTCTGCCCCCTTGCAGAGGCTCTCCTGGGCTCGTTCTTGAGCTGTCCACGAAAGCAGCCCCGGAGCTCAGCCCCGCCCAGGCGCGGTTTGCCGCAATTCTGCCGGGACGAGCCGAAGACAGGCGCCAGCACCTCCGCGGGCCAGCGCGCCCGCCTCCCTCTCGCCCGCGCCCGCCTCCGAGCTTCGCTTGCGGCGCGTCTCCTTTAAGAGGCCTTCGCGGCGCCCAGAATAGAACGCGGGGGCTGCCACCGACCCCTCCCGCCCCACCAGCCCGCGCGGGTCCTTCTCCCGGGCGGCAGCACTTTGGCCCGCAGGCAGACGCGCAGGCCATGGACCCCCTCGTGACGCGCAAAGTCGAGGGCGCGGCGCAGGCCTTCTGGCAAGCCCTTCTGGCAGGCGACAGCTCTGCGCTCCTCGGCCTGCTGGGGGACCCAAAGAGCGGCGTGGGCCCCAACGCGGTCTTCGACACCAGCGACGTGGACGAGTGGAAGAGCTACCGCTCCAACTCCCGCTGGTTGAGTGCGCCGCGGGGGGCGCTGGGCGGGGGGACGGCCCGGCCCGGCCCTCGCTGAGCCCGAGGCCGGGAAGAGGGAGCAGGCGCGGAAGGGTCCCGGGACAGCCGGGAGCAGCGGGGCCGTTCGGCAATGCTCCGGACCCCGCCGTCCAGCCCGCGCAGCCTTCCGCGGAGTCCTCCTCAGCCCTCCCTCTTGCGTGCAAAGCAGCGGCTTCCCCTCGGCCACAGCCTCGGGCTCGGCGACCAGGAGCTCGGAGGCAGCCGCTGCCGGGGCCGCGGACGCGGCTGAGCCCCTGCCGAGCTGCGGCGCCGACATCGGGACGAGGCTGCGGGTGCTGGCCCGGGCCTCGCTCGGCTGAGCGGGCCTGAGGGTGGCATCCGCTTCCGCCGCGTCCTGCCCGTGCCCCCGCACCCGCCGTCGGCGTCCCCGCGGGCCTTAGGCGCGGCGCTGAGCGTGCGACCAGCTGCCTGCGCCCCGGCGCGCCCCTCGCCCGCACTGACGCGCGCCGCGTACTCCTCTCCTCAGGGCTGTGGTCTCTGACCTACCAGCAGGAGCTCACCACGCCACTGCACATCACCGCCAGCCGCGGCTACCTGGACTGCCTGCGCCACCTGCTGCTCCGCGGGGCGGACGTGGACCTGGCGCCGGGGGGCCAGACGGCGCTGCACGCGGCCTGCGCGGCAGGCACCACGGAATGCGCCCGGCTGCTGCTCTCGTTCGGCGCTGACCCCGAGGCCGTCTCGGAAGAGGGATTCCAGCCGCTCCACCTGTGCCGCAGCCCCGGCTCCGCTGAGTGAGTGCCGCGCCTCGACCCTGTGCGCCCCCGGCCATGGAGCTCCCTCGCCCGGGCTGCCCGAAAGGGCGATGCCGCGCGGTCGGCCATGCCCGCTGAGAAAGGGACCGCGGGGCGCGGGCGCGGCGCTGCGGCCGCGGTTCGTGGCAGGTGGGAGGCCGGCAGGGGCCCGGGAGGGCAGGTCAGCAGGCGCCTCCTCCGGCTCCCTCGAGCCGGGTGCCCGGCTTCGGCACGCGGGCCGCGAGGCTGGGGCAGAAAGATGCGGAGAGGACGGCACCAGCGTTCGTCCTCTGGAGGCGGCCCCACGGGCAAGGAGTGCGCCGAGGGTGATGGGGGTCGCCGTCGCTGCCTGCGGGGCGAGGGCTTTGCTCGGCCCCGGGTTGAGGCGGCGGTGCTGGGCAGCCCTGGATACACTTTCAAGGAGCCACGGAAGGAGAGGAGGCCGCAGACACCAGCCCGGGCACGGTTGCGAGAGGCAACGGGCCGGTATCGCCTTCTCCTCGCGCTCAGCCAAGAGCGCTGGGAAAATGCAGCCTCTCCTGGGGCGAAGCTGCCCGCGCCCGCGCCGAGGCAAGAACCTGCGCGGCCCATGAATGCCCCCGTGGGGGCTTTCCTTGCTGCCAGCCTCCCGAGGCCTTTGCCCAAGCGGTTTGCAGTCGGGAAGCGGGCAGCGCGAAGGAGCGCGGAGGCGGGAGCCCCCCGGCCCGCCGCGTTTGCCGAGGCTCTTCGCGGGCGGCGCGTTGGGCGCGGGCTGGCCCTGGCAGCGCGGAGGCTGCGCGGGCGAGGCCACCGGGGGGCGGGCGGGGGGCGGGCGGGCGCGCTCGCTGCGCCGCTGCCGGGCCGCCCTGCCGGAGCCTTCCCTCGCGCTCGTCTCTCCCGCAGGTGCGCCGCGCTGCTGCTGCGCCAGGGCGCGAGCGTGAACGCGCGCTCGGAGGAGGAGGAGGACAGCCCGCTGCACGTGGCGGCTCGGCTCGGCCTGGCAGGGCACGTGCAGCTGCTCCTGAGCTGGGGCGCCGACCCGACGGCGAGGAACGCCGAGGGACAGACCCCGCTGAACGCCGCCTGCGCGCAGGCCCACCCGCCGCAGGCCGCGGGCGACTACTTCGCCGTGTGCCTGCGGCTGCTGGACGCGGGCGCCTGCGTGGACGCCGGCGACCGCGACCTCCAGCGCCCGCTGCACCACGCCTGCAAGACCGCCAACCACCGGGTGGTGGCGCTGCTCCTCTCCCGCGGCGCCAGCGTCAACCGCATGAGCTACAGCGGCAACACGCCCCTGCACGACGTCCTGCAGAGGGCGGCCTACCAGCTGCAGCACCAGCCGGAGCTGACCGTGCGCCACTTGCTCAACCACGGCGCCGTGCGCGTCTGGCCCGGAGCGCTGCTCAAGGTGCGCACGGCTGGGCGGGGGAGGCTCTGGGGGCGCAGTCCTGGCCAGCGTTCCACCCCTTCTCTGCCAGGGGTGTGGGAGGGCACCGGCCTGCACTTGGGTGCCCTGGCGGGGACGTTGCTTGCCCACTCCTTGAACGCAGGGGAGAGAACCTGGAGAAATGGTCCCAGCGGGCGAGGCAAGGTGCGCTGCATAGTGAAGCCCCTCCCGGCCTGTTATGCCGTGGGGGCCACATTTGATGTGGGGCTTCCTTCCTTGAGACCCTGCCGGGGGCCCCACGGCCAGAGCCGCCGCCGTCCTGGGACAAGGGAAACGGCTGCCCCCTGCAGGAGGAGAGGGCACGAGGGTTGCTCCAGGGGGCCCTTGGCCACTGCCCCAGCGGCCTCCACCGCTGCGGGCAGGGCCAAAGCCGAGAAGAGGGGTGGCCTGGGACACCTGTTCCCTCCCCGAGTGCCCCCCACCTGCTCATGGTGGCCTTCTCCAAGAGGGTGAATCGTCTTCCCAGACTTGGCGGGTTGCTCTCCCCTTTGGGAAAATGCAGGAAAATCCACAACTAACACTAATTAATCTCCTATGAACAGCAGATAATGAGGACAGAATGGCTTCGTACAGCCAGCCTGGGCTTGCCTTGGCGCTGAGACCTGGCCGGGCAGGGGCTGGCCACAGCTGTGCTCTCGGCCTGCAGCAGGTGGCAGCCGCAGCCGGGACGGAAGGCAGCTGGCATGGCGACTGGCCACGTTGTGCCGGCGAAGTGGGAGGGGAGCACGTCTTGTACTGCAGCGTTTCCCAGTCGGGTTCGCAAGGGAGCGTCCACGTGGCCTGCAGAGGATGCTTCCCCAGAAAGTGGCTGGAAGCAGGACCTGCTTTAGCCTCAAGCTGACCTTGGGGGGACCATCCCACACCGCGGCCTCCTTAGTCCTGCTCTGGGGGCTCCAGACTGGGAGCACCTATCCATGCTTGGCCATCTGGCAAGCGACACTATGCAGGACGCAGGCCGCCAGCTGCATCCAGGGACCACCCGAGGCTCGGCCCAGAGTGCGCATACCTCCCTCAGCCCCTCCTAGTAATTTCCCCGCAGGATCCTTGTGCACGAAATAGCGTTGAACAAGGAGTGCTGCTTCTGTGACTTTGGGCCAGGGCAGTCTCCCAAACTGGAATTGGCCAAATCCTTTCTGGACACTCAATAGTTATTTGTTAACCTGACTGAGTGCCCTTTTGACCTTTCCTGTGAATGGGAGTATCTGGTAATCCGGGTTCTTGGCCGTGGGACACGTGTGGGTGAGCTATTGAGCCCACGTGGGTCTAGAACCTCCGTTGGCCGAGCTAAATCCTGCTGCCCTACCCAAAAGAGACCCCTCGGATGGCTGGTGATGCAGAGCCCTCTGAAGCTCCACCGATGGCAGCCGTTCCTCTGTGACTAGGACTGCAATTGTGTCTGGTCCAGAATATGTGTTCCCTCTTTCCAAAGTGCAGCTCGATGGGCTTTGACGCTGCCCCATTTTCAGGCCCTGGTTCAGCTGCAGGACTATGAGCCAGTGCTCAGCCCTGCCTTCCCGAGCCAAGGGCGAAGGGCTTTCTCCTGGCGTCAGCCTGCGTGCCTCCAGGTCTCCGGGCGAGGTGGTGGCGCAGTGACACCGGCTCCCACACTTTGGGTTGGGGTCTTTCTCCCCAGCCAGGCCTGGAAAGGCCTGATGAGGGTGGCCCTGTACACCTTGGTGGGGGGGAAGGGGTGCTGTGCCCCAGGCTCTGGGCGATTACTTGTGGTGTGTGAACGCAGCTGATGGATCAGGACCATTAGAAACGTGGCGGGGATCCCGACTTGTGCAATGGGCAGAGGTCATATTTCCATTGAAAGCAGCAGGGCAGCTCATACCGAATCAACAAGGAAAGTGACAAGTGAGGGGTTCTCGTTCGTTGCTGTAGCCCACCCTTCTTTCCCCGACATGCCCCAGGCAGGAAGGAGCCCCTTCTGTCCATGAGCTGGAGCAGCAATCGAACGGAGCTGCACAGCTTCAGAGCGGCTGACGGAGGGGGAAGGGGCAGCCATGCTCCCCACTGGGCCAAGGGAGGCCAACGGGCGTCGGTTGGGGGCAGGTTGTCCAGTGACCTGGGGTGAGCCTTCCGGGCCTTGCCCTTGGCTTGCTCGGCCAGGCGAAGAAGAAGAAGGGGCGACCGAAGGCCGCACAAGCTGGCAGAGATGGAGGCTGCTGCTCTGCACGAGGGGCAGTTAATGCTGCCAGATTTCGGCCAGCCCGAAAAGTCGGGCGGAGGAAGGGACTCTGTGGGAGCCAGCACCAGGGTGGGGTGCACGAGTCTGTGTGCGCCGGGCTTGGCTCTGCTTCCCTTCCACGTCTCCAGAGCGGAGCCCCGCGGGATCGGCACCTCTTTCCCCTCCGCAGGTGCTGCGCTACTGCCACACGTCCCCCCGCTGCATCGAGGTGCTGCTGAACTGCTACGAGCGGGTGCCGGTCTCCGCGGAGTGGGCAGAGGCTGTCCCAGAGAAGGTACTGCAGGTGAGCAGGGGGGGTGGCTGCCCCCCCCATCAGGGCCTGCTGTGCGCCCCGGTTCCTTGAGGGTGCTCCATTTGGACAGGGGTGGAACCCCATCAGCTGGCTGGGTCTGGCGAGCTGCTGCTTCCCCCCAGCCAGGTGCATCTCCTGGCCAGATCTGGGGGGAGGCAGAGATGAAAGAAAGGGGGCGGAAGCTGGAGCTGGCTGAAGGAAGGCGCCTTCCCTCACGCCGGCTCTTGCAGACTTCCCCTTGTGACGTTCTCATGGACGACCCCCCCCCCCCGCCCAGGAGCACCAGCGCTTCTTCCAGTCGCTCTTCGCCTTGGCCCAGAGCCCCCGCACCCTGCAGCATCTGGCCCGTTGCGCCCTCCGGAGCCACCTGGAGGGCCGCCTGCTCCAGGCCCTCCCGAAGCTGCGCCTGCCTCCGCTTTTGCAGGAGTTCCTGCTGCTCCGCTTCGAGGATGTGCTTTACTAGGGGCGTGGGGACTGCACGCCCGATTCCGGACTGCTTTCCGCCGGGACAGAAATGTGCGCGCCTTTTCCGCCCCCCTCGGCAAAGGGAGGGGAAAGGCCTGGCAGGAGCCCGCCGGGCGCCAGTCCCTGAAGCAGCGGAGTCGGAGCGAGTGGTGCGGCCGCGGCAAAGCAGCTGAGGAGGGACGCTGCGGCCGCCCTCTTCGCGCCAGGGGGACCCCGGGACGCCCCTGCCCGCCACCCGCAAGGCTGAACGGACTCCTGGACGAACGAGCAGCTGAACGGGCGGCTCTGTTCCGTCTCGCTCCCCTGCTTTGCGCTCGGCCCGCCCCCGCGGAGATGCGCCCCGAACGGAAGCGGCCCTGCGCGGAAGAGCGCCCTGCGCGGGATCCGCACCCGAAGCTCGCCTTTGCGCTCCCCCTCGCGGCATCCGCCCTCCCTCCCTCCCTCCAATAAACACGCACCTTCGGCTTGTTCGCGGTCTGACTGGAGCTGCTTCTTTGGGGTTGGGGGAGAGTTCCGACTCCAACGTGGCAGCCGGAATCCTGCGGTCTGCCCGGTCGGCGCCCGGGCTCGCAACTCGCTTTCCGTTGTTTGGACTGGAGGCGGACCCTCGGAACCGGGATCCACCCGCGAACCCCTCCTCGCCCAACTCGATGCACTCTCGAGCCCTCAGAGGCCGCCTGCCCGTGCTCGCTTTTCCCCAGCCCAGGGCTGCCCCTGCAACCCCGAGGCCGCAACTCCGTTTCTCCCCTGGGACGGGACGCGACTGCGATTTCGCACGCGCTCGGGGTCCGGCGGGCCTCCCCGTGCGGCAGGCGGGCCGAAGCAGCAGTGGAGGCGGCAGGAGCCCTGGAAAGGACCGGTAGGACCGCTCAGTCCGGGGGCCGAGCCTTCACTCACTCAACGGCTATCTGGGACGGGCAGAGAAGGGGAGCAGAGCAGGGGAGGCCTGGAGCCTGCCCCCATCTCCCTAGGGGTCCCGCCCTCCCGCGGAACGGCTAGGCTAGCCCAGGCGACTGACGGTGGCCCGCGGCGCTGCCAGAGGCCACCGGCAGAGGGAGCTGCAGGACGCGGCTGGTGCCGGCCGGATGCGGCCCTGAACCGGCTTCCCGCAGAAGTTTTCCCGAACTGTAACTTGCGGCAGCCGAATCAAGTCATCGGCGGGGGCAGCAGCGAGCGCTGGGAAGCGAGAGGCTCCGGCGGCGAGGCCCGCGCCGGTTGCGCGGACGCTTTCCGCGGCGCGAAGGCCCCTTGCTCAGGTCGACCTTGCCTGCACTGGTAGTGCCGCTTCCCGATGTCCGTGCGTGCTTGCCCTGCCCGAAGCCGTTCTCGTGCGGTGCGCGCCCTCTCCGTCCACCGGTCCGCTCCACGCCCACGCGCAGACGCGCCCCTCGGACGAAGGGAAGGAGAGCCGCCGGCGGGCGCGGAGGGGCAGAGTCCCCCCCCCCCGTTCATGCCCCAGAGGCAGCGCTTCGCTCTCTGGCCGGCACTGCTGCGTTTGTGCGATTTATATCCCGCCTTCGGCCCAAGGACGGCCCTCGACGCGGGTAGCTGCGGGCCGAAAGCACGGACGGATCCACCCCAAACCTTCGTCAAGCCGTGACACGGAGAGGAGTGAATCAAAGCGCGGCAGGGAAGCTGCTTCATCGCAGGCCAGCGAAAGGTCCGTCCTCTTCTCCAGCGGGGAGGGCCCGGGCGCGGTCTCAGAGCGAAGGACGCGCCCTCCCACCCTCCAGGCAGACCCAGGACCTGTGCGCGAAGCGGGCCGCCCGTGCTCAGGAAGGCCCCTGGCCGGTACTGCCTGGACAAGCTGCGGCAGCGGCCCTCCGGAGCCGGAGACAGAGGGCCCTTCTGCAGCCAGTCGGCCAAGGAGGTGGTGCTCCCCCCGCAGCCGCGCCCCGCCCCGCCGGCTCCCCTCGCTGCTCGCAGCGCCTGAGAAGCCCGCCCTTTGTTCTGCCTGCCTGCCTCCTGCCTCCCGGGCAAGTGACCCGCATCCCCGCCTGCCTGGAGGGACGCGACCTTCCCAAGTGAGAACAGCGAGGGGCGCGGCCTCTTCCCTTCCCTCGCGCGGCCTCGGACGTGGGCGAGCGATCGTAGGTGGCGTCGTTAGCTCGTCGCTGGCCCGCAAGCACGCACCCGCCTCCGCCCGGCGCACCTGCTGGGTCCGACTCCTGACTGACTTCCTCGGGGAGGATGGGGCGGACTGTCCGCGAAGAGCAAAGGCCGGCGCCACGGCCCGCTCCGGGGCAGGGAACGCACCGCCTCGGAGGTGCGCCTGACCGCGGACGCGCCCCGAGAAGCGCACCCGGAGCAGAGGCGCCTGCCGGAGCCGCTTCCCCGAAACGCCGCCGCCACCTCCCCTCCAGGGCGGGGATGGCCCGAGTGCCGCTGGACGCCTCGGCGGAGAGGCCGGAACCCGGAGGACGGTTGTCCGCCAGGCGACGGACCTGCGCCCAGCGAGCCTCGCGTGGGCCGGGGTCGCTGGGCTTCCATTAAAAAGCCTACCCTGGGTGTCTGGGAAAGCGGGCCGGCGGAATCGGCACCCGACCCCCCATCAAGCCCCCCCCCCCGGCCTTCGACAGCGCCTGGCACAGAAGAACTCCCCTTGCAGACGGGGCGCGGGCTGCGCGAGAAGGGCCCGCCGCTCCGACCGGGCGTGTCAGGGGGTGATTCAGGCGCAGCCGGCCAGCGCCGCCCGGGGAAGCCACCGACGTGCCTCCGAGCGACCCCCGCCTCGAGGGCAGAACGTGCTCGCGGCGAGCAGCTACTTGTGGGGCCGGCTGCCCCGGGGCTGCGGCCTCACGTGAGGTCGGGCTGCTCCCCATAGCGCACCCTCCCCGCTCAGGAGATCCGTGAAGCCGCTCCGCGCCCCCGGCACGGCCTGCCGCCTCCGAGATGGGCCAAGCTGAGCTCCGGCAGTCGCCCGGACGACCTGGAGCGTGAACGCGCTCCGAGGGGGGCGCATTCCTGGGCAAACCCTCGGCGAAGCCAAGGAGGGGCGCGCGTTGCCGCCTGTCGGCATGGCGGGCGGAGGGGGCGCTCCTTCGGCCGACGAAGTGCCCCACTCCTCCGGCTCATCATCGCCGCAGGACCCGGGCACTTCGGAGAGCCCGCCCCGGTCTCCCGCGGGGTCCCTGCCCAGGATCCCGGCCGCTGGCACTCGAAGGGGCGTCTCTGGCCGCGGGGGTCGGCCCCTCGCCCTCGCCCGCTCCCCGCCCCCCCTCCGGAGCAGCTGGTCCCGCCCCGCCCCGCCCGACAAAAGGCCCTTGTGCGCCCGGCCGGTAATTGGCAATCATCAATCACCAGCCATAATAGCTGATGAGGCGGGAGGGGGCGGCGCCTTCCCAGGGGCCCCCCTTGGCCGCTCCAGTGGGAACCCGCCGCTGCTCCCTGGCCCGGCCGTTGGGCGGGCGCCTCTGGGGGGAACTCAAGCGGAATTTGAGGAAGATGGATGAGCCCAGAGGCGGGCGGGCAAGCAGGGAGACTCCCCCTCCCCCTCCCCCTCCCCTGCCGTCTCCTCCCCTTCTCCCTCCCGCCGCAGACAGCGCCGGCTCAGCGCCAGGCGCGGCAGAGCGCAGCAGCGCAGAGGCCGGGCGGCGAGCGGGCGTGGCGGCGCGCTTCCCGGGGCAGAGGCGCCCTCGAAGAGGCGGGCGCGCACCGCGGCACCCGCGGAAGCCGGAGCCGGCGCGCAGACGGACGGCGCGCCGTGCCTGGGGCCGGACTGACGGCGCGTCCGGCGAGCCTCGCTTTCGCGGAGTCTGGCGCCCAAGGGGGGCCCGGCCGGGCAGCCCGGCCAGTAGCTGTCGGGGGCCGCGGCCATGCAGAGACCCAGTGGCCAGGGCGCTGCCTTCTCCATTGACTCGCTGATCGGGCACTCGCCGCCAGCCCCGCGCTCGGGCCCCCTGCTCTACACCGGCTACCCGATGTTCATGCCCTACCGGCCGCTGGTGCTCCCTCACGGGCCGATACAGACGGCGGCGGGGCTGCCCCCGCTGGCGCCGCTGGCTTCCTTCGCCGGCCGCCTCACCAATTCCTTCTGCGCCAGCCTCGGCCAGGCGGTCCCCTCCATGGTGGCGCTCACCACGGCCCTGCCGAGCTTCGGCGAGCCCCCCGACGGCTTCTACCCATCTCAAGAGCTGCCAGCCGCGGGGCGAGGGAACGCAGAGCCACCCTGCCGCCGGCGGAGCGCGACCGAGAACTTGGAGCGGGACGAGCTGCCCCCCAGCCGGGACAAAGGGCCCCCGGAGCCGCCCCTCCACTTTTCGGAACCCTTTCCTGGCATGGCAGGTAGGTGGCAGGGAGGGATGGCGCCGGAGCTCGGGCATGGAGCCTCTTCAGACGGGAGAGGGCAGGGGCAGCCAACCCACCAAGGAAGGACGAGCGGCCAGGGGAGAGGGGGAGTTGGGAGAAGTTTTCTCCCGGGGCGAAAGTTTCCGCAGACGCGAGGAGGGCGCCAGGAGGAAAGAAAGCTCGGCTGGACTCGAAGAGCGGGGCTGGGACTGCCCGACGCGGAGAGAGGGGTCTGGGGGCAAAGCCGCGGCTTGAAGCGAGTGTCCCTGCTCGCCCGCCCCGTAAAGCCGGCTAGAGGCACACCAGCCGGACTCACCCAGCGCCCCTCTCGGGCACCTTCCAGGCCGTCGGTGAGTGGGCCGCAGGGCTGAGCGCCCACCCCGAGCGCCTCACCCGAACTGCCAGACCAGTGGCCTCCTGCTGCAGGGCCCCTGCTCCCCCCCCCCCAGCCGGCTAAGGAGCCCTCTCTCGCTGCTCGCTCCCGCCGCTTCTGCGGGGAAGCCGCCTCTGCGCACCCGCTTCCCCTCGCGCGGTGCGGCTTTCGCTTCGGGTCCTGGGGAGGTGCCTGAGGCGCAAACAGCCCGGCGCCTCGCCAGCGCCGTGTGCGCCGCGAAGAAGGTGGCCAAGTTCCCCGACTAAGCCGCAGCGCAAAGTCTCCTCCCATCGGGGGCTCCGAAGGACCGAGGCGAGGCCCCGCGAAGGCTCTGCTTCGCGCCCCCTCCAGGAAGGCAGCCGCGCCCCAGGCTGCGCGGGGAGAAGCGGCCAACCTGCCTGCCCCACGCCACGAGATGCCACCCCGCCAGGGCAGCAGGCGAGCACCCTCCGCCTTTGGCTGGCAAAGTGCGCGTGGGGCCGGGTGAGGAGCTGTTGGCGCCCCTTCCTCCTTCGGCCCCCCTGCGGCTTCCCCCCCTCCCTGGTGTGCTGCTCTCCACGGACTGGGGGGCTGCCCCACTGTTCTGAGAACCAGAGAGTGAGGAACTGTCCGTGGTGCTGGGAAGACTCCCCGCCGGACAGGGCGGGGAACGGAGTGGCGAGGCTCCAGAGCCCTTCGCAGGCGCGAAAGAGTTGGGGGCGCATGAGGGACCTGGAGAGGCCCAGCGGAGGCGTCGCTGCGGCTGTGTCCAAGTGCTGGTCCCCAAGCTGGGAGGGGGCCGTCGGTTCCTGGCCTCCCCCCAGCTGGAATCCAGCTCTGCCTTCAGCCTCGGAATCCAGCGCTTCCTCTCAGCCCCCTCCCCGCCCCCAAAGGCTTGGTCCTGCCCAGCCATCACTCCAGGAAGCCGACTGGAGCAGCTTCCTCCTCCTGGAGGGATTTTGGCCTCTGGACCCAGCCATGCCGTGATCTGAAGGGCGCCCCAGAGCCCCGTCCCCACATGTTCGGCTTTGCGGCTCAGTGGCCCAGCTTCTTCTCAGGGAAAGTCTTCTGCCCTCAGCTTTGCAGCACCCACGCCACCATGTCCCAAACCCTTCCCCTCCTCGTACCAGGCCTTGCAGGAATCCCGAGCTGGGCCGTGGCAGCTGGGAGTCTGCATTTCGGGCAGCATGAAATTCGACTGGGTAAAAGCAGCAGGGGCAGGTGGCAGCCAAGTCTCGTTCCAGCGCACGCTGCACTCAGAGGTGGAGGGTCTGAAGGTGCTGCCCGCATCCCAGGTGCCCACTCAGCCTTCCAGTTTAGCGCATGAAAAGTGGGGGTCCTGATGCACCGCGGCACCAAGCCTGGCAGGAGCTTGAGTCCCAGGAGCTGTGGCGGTGCCTCAAGCCCGGCCCCCGACTCCCAGGTGCTTGCTTATACGCAGGCATGCGTGAGGCAGGCATGTGTGAGGCAGGCATGCGTGAGGCTTGTGTGCTCACTGTCTTGACTTTGATCTCTTGGTAGAGAGCGCCCCATTTTAATGAGGGTGAGGTCCAGCTCGGGGGGGGGGGCATCTCAGGGAGGGTATGTCAACCACCCTATGAAATGTAGTACGGAAGGTGACCTTTTCTTGATAAACCATCTGAGTAGATCATTGCAGCCTCTCCAAAAGTGCCTTCAACCCCACAAAATTGCACCCTCTGCCAGGTTTTGCTGATGATCCCAATCTGTGTAAATTGCATACATTCATAGGTTAAAAGACAGACACTTAATCAGCTAACATTATTTTGTGGGTTCAAACAGACCCCTGACATGCCAGATCATCAAACTCGCCATCCATCCTCTCAGTTTCAGAGGCTTTCGGCCGATGCCAGCCTAGATTCCCAGACTGCCTCTTGGGGCATTTTGGACCGCTTGCCTCAAGCTCTCTCATGCCCACCCCCCACCGAATGCCACCTCACCAGGAGGCTCCCTGCCCGCTGGCACAGCTGCCCCTGCTGCAGGACTCGGGGCAGCCTCTGCTGCAGCTTCCCTGCCAGCTCCTGATGCGCCAGTCCAAGCCCACCGGGATGAAGCTGATCCTCTGCGAGGCTGCATGGACAGCCGAGCTGCCCTGCCTCTTGCTGGACTGAGCCACTTCCCAGACTCCAAGGAGAGGGGGCGCTGGCCCGGCAGGACACGCAGGGGGGGGGGGGGGGGCAAGCACGCATCAGTCCGAGCTGGGAAGGACCAGCGGCCTGCCCCGGCTGCCCCCCTTCTCCCACCTCGGGCAGCCTATGCTCCAGATGCCGCCCCAGAGCCGTGGAACCAGGTGCCGCAAACAGCTCCTTGGGGCAGGCTGGCATGCCACCAGGGTGAGCTGCTTCAGAGAACTGGGGACTGGCTCCCTGCTGGCAGTGTGGGCTGCAGGGCAAGCGTGGCTACTGGGGAGCATGCATGGGCTTGCTGGAAGGACGGGTGAAAGGTTCCTGCACCATAGCTGGGGAGGGGGAGTTACTCGAACACTGCTGCTGGGCTTGCATGAGGCTCCTCTCCTGCCAAGCAGGCCCTCTGCTGCTCAGAGTGGGGCTGAGGGCTGGAGGCTTGGTGTGTGGCTGCGGGGTCCGTCCCTCCTGGGGTGCCCTGCGGAAAGGACACAGGGGCAAGCCAGTCTCTGTACCCCATCAGCTCTGGGCTCGCAGGAGTGTGCTGGAGATATTTCCAAGCTTGAAGCCAGCAGAGGGGCCTTAATACCTGGCTAAGGGGCTCGTGTGCGCCTCTCTGTGTTGGAATGCGGGGCAGGAGCCTTACTCTGGTATCCCAGGACCACATTTAACCTGTGGCTCAGCCACCACCAGCTGTGGGGGTCTAACCAGTGCTCAGGCCCTTCCTTCCCAGGGCAGGATTCAGCCAAGGGGCAGCAATTGGGAAGGGCCCCATACCACCGAGGTTGGAGCGCATGGGTCCCGGCATGTGGCTCACAGCAAGCAGTAGCGTGTTCAGGAGCACACGGGAGGTGGGGCGTGTGCCAGAGTCACCCGTGTGCTCCCCGTGGGCAAGGGCTTTCCTGCTGAGCAGGGCTCCCTGCCCCCTGGGACTGGCAGCCACCCCTGAGCATGTGGGATTTGCCGAGTGAAAAGCAGATGTGGGGAATGATGTGCCTTGCTGCAGAGTGAGCTTGCCCACCTAGGCTGGTTTTGCCGTCTTCCAGGCACTCACAAGGGCGCCTCACTTTGTGCTTTTGTGCACTGGATCTACTTGGAGTCCCCTTCTGACTCGCTCTGTTTCTATGTTTCTACCTGGTCCGAATTTCTCAAGCTTTTCCCAATCTGATCCGAATTTATCCATGTGAAAAGCAGGTGCCCAGCTCACTTGCATGGCCTGCAGATGAGTCAGTTCCTGGGAGGGTCTGATGACGCTACCCCTCCAAGGCAGCTGACTGGCCCGTCCAGCGTAGCACTGCCGGCACTGCCTGGAGCTGGCCCGCCTGGAGGTGCTGCCCGGCCCGAACTGGGGACCTTCTGCAGGCGTGGGGCCCACCGGCCTTCCAGCGGGGCAGCTTCTCAGCCTTAGAGGAAACCATCTGGTAGGGGACCGGCCCAGAGGCAAAGGCCTTGGGGGCTCCTGCCCTGCTCTCGCTCACCGGCTTTCCTTAGGTCCACCTGGCGCACCAGGCAGCGTTCCTCCCCTGTCCGTGCGCGTCTTTCTGGGCTTCCGCACAGACACCAGGACCCCTCCCTGGAGGGTGCCCCCTTCTGCTGGTGGGGGACGTGCCCCTACCCTGGGTTCAAAAGGAGCAGAAAGTGGGAAAAGTGGCTCCCGGGGCAACAAGGAGCGCCACAGCTGCATCAGGGCTGAAAGACGCTCTGAGCCGGTGCAGCTGCTCAGCATCCCTTGGTGCATGGCTGCGCTGCGAGGACTGCCTGTCCCCGGGCGCTGCTCAGAGCGGGGCTGACTTGCCGGCCCTTCAGGTGCCTTCAGAGTCGCTCACGTGGGCTGTGGGCCAGGAGACCCCCATGTGCACCCGCTGCCCAGGCACAGCAGGCTGGCTTGGTGGCGAGCCTGCAGGCCTGCTGGTGGCCACTAGGGGGTGCCCTGCTGCAGGCAGCTCTGCGGGCCGGTGTGGCGGTGGCGATGCCAGACCAAGGCTGGCGTGTTCACAGGTCGGCAACGGCGGCCGTCTTCCCCGCCGGCCTCTGTCCTGGCAAGGTGCAGAGGCGTTGCCACAGTCTACGGCAAAGAGCCGCGGAGAGTGCCCTGCCGTGGGCTGTGTGCTGTGGGGGCCCAGCCAGTGGGGCGCCCCTGAAGGAGGGTGGGTGGCTCCTCCATGTTCTGGGCAGGGACTCTGCAGCAGAGGGAAGAGGCCCTACCAGGCCGTGCCTCCACCCAGCGCACCCCCTGACCCCCCCACAAATCCCAGCGAGGCTGAGAAGGGGCCTTTTGCGCCATGCCAGGAGGCAGGCCTGAGCAAACGCGGGCTATGCAAGCACATGTGGGGGGAGGGGGGGATCGCGCAGGTACTTCTGCCTTCCACTGGGTGAGGTGTGGGACCCCCTGGCACTGGGGGGCAGGAGGGCTGCAGTCTTGCAGCGCCTTCTTCCTCCATCAAGGAGTCGTGTCCAGTCACCTTCTGGGCCTCTTTGGATGTTCAAGAACGGCATCGCTGGCCTTGCCCCCCTCCATCCAGCAATGGGAATTCAAAGATACCCAAATCCTGTGCTAAGAGTGTCCACAGGATCTTCTCTCTTCACCTCTGACAGATCATCGTCCCTCTCCCAGCCCATCTCCATGGTTGCCATGAATCAGCCCTCTACAACCGTGGTCTTCTCCAGTGGAAGCCACATCTGACCCATTTGCACCCCTCCAGCTTTCTCTGGACGGGAGGAGCTGAGGCAGCTCTTCAGCTAGGCATGGCTGCCGAAGTTTCTTCGGGCAGCAAGTCATCCCTCCTCAGTCCCGAAGGAAGCCGTTTAGTTTTCCTCGGTGGTTGCGGGCCTCTCTGCACAGCACTTCACCAGGCCCTGCCCCACTGGAGGCAGCTGGGGCGGAAGCTTCCCCTTGACCTTCCTGTTGGCGTCGGCATGGCTGATCGCAGTGCAAGCCCAGCTCCTGGTCCGGGACTTAATTCGGTGGAGAACTCCTGCACAGGCAGAGGGAGCCTGACCTGGCCTAGCCGCCTTTGCGCCTGTGTGCTGGGCTGCCTTCTGTCTTTGCAGGGCAGAGCCCACCTGGGCCAATCCAGAAGGGGCTGCCTGGCATTTGTGGGGGAGCCTCCCCAGTTCCTTGGCTGGTGAGGGCCAGGGCTCCACGGGGGTAACTCTTGATGGAGGTGCACCCCGTCACCGCAGCAAGTCGCCTCAGGAAGAGGCTGCCTCTGTGGACCCAGAGCAGCCACCACCCGCTGCTCAGAGCCGGGCCCTGGCATGCAAGCAGGAATGGCCCGGCAGCACCACCAAGGCGTTGCCCCATGGCTGTGCCAGCTCTGGCTGGGCTGGGCTGCTTCCCAGAGTGCTGGGTGGAACCTGCCCAAAAGACCCCTTCCCGCCGAGGCGGGCAGGGGCCAAGAGCACGCTGAGGACCCAGCTGGCTCTCCTGCTGGATGCTAAGCCATGCGGGATGAAGGGGGGGTTGTGGCTCGGCCTGCCAGGGTGCCGCACCCCATCTGGGGAGGTCCAGCAGAATGCGCTTCGGGGCCAGCCGGATGCTCATGCCGGGACCGCACTGCAGGGCAACCCACCCCAGGCCCTTTAGCCCATGGGTGGATGCAGAGCATGCGGGGGGAGCGCAGCCACCCTGCTGAACAGGTGCCCCCTGCCTGGAGATTCTGCGTGAAGGTGAAGCTGGTGAGCATAGGTGGCGCAAGGGCTGGGTAACCTTCATGCAGCGCACGATGCATTTAGGGCTGTGTGTGCAGCCTGGCGTCTGTGGGCCCTGCAGCTCATTGCCAGGTAAATTATGTCGGGTGAGCAGCAGCCTGCCGTCAGAACCTCGTCACCCAGCGCATGCGCACAAACTGTCTCCCCTCAACTGCTTCCCCTGCAGAAGTCGAAAGAGTTCAGGGTTGCAGCTGTCCCTTCCAGGGGACCTCATGCCACAGCCGTGGGATGAGGGGCAGCCAGGGAAGAGCACAGCTGAGTCTCTGAGGAGCAGCAGAGTCAGGAAGCTGAGAGTCACCGCAGGTGGCGCCCCCCTCCACACCCCCGCAAGCTCCCTGTTCCCACATGGCAATAGAACCCCTTGAATGCTTGTTGACTCGGGTCATGGCAGTTGCCTGAATGTCTGGACTCTTCCTGGGGGCGCATCTGCAGAGACATCAACAGTGAGAGTGTGTGCCAAGAAATGTGGCTGCGACGGGCGTCGTCACTGCTGGCTCAGTTTGCCTGACTGCTTGGGCAAGACGATGTGGGTCAGACCCAGACCTGGTCGTAGTTCAGGGGCACTAACCGAGTCAGTGGGACGTCTGTTGCTCACGGCTGACTTCCATCCTGCCTCCTTTCAGTGCTCTGTTCTAGGCCTGGTTTGCGTGACTGTGGCTAACAAGCCGTGGGAGCGCCTCAGCTCCACCACAAGTCCGGCCGGGTCCCGTGCTGGCTGGATCGCCTGGGTTGCCCGAGGTGTTTTGGGGCAGCTGCCCAGCGACCGCTCAGGGGTTGCTTGAGGTTGATGAGACATCCGGGCCATGCTTAGAGAAGCCACGCCACCTGGCTCAGGTGGTCCCACCAGCTGCAACAGCTAAGGTGACCAGGGAACTCTGGCCAGCGCATGGCTGACATGTGCACTGGGAGAAGGCTGGCACCACGGCCTGTCCCTCTCACTGTGGCTTGGAGAACCAGCCCGTGCATGTCGGTCTCTGGATCCGGACTTGTGACGTGGATCTCCAGTGCCGTGTGGATTGTTCCTTGGAAGAACCTGGTCAGTCACCTGTCTGACCAGACTGTGATAGTTGGGGGGCTTCCTGGAGTGAGGGGCTGCCACCAGGGCTGATGAGCAGGGCAGGGCAGCCCCTGCTACAGTCCAGACCTTTCCCAGGCCAGGCCACCCTTCCCATCCTCCATGGGGCAGGGCCTCGCAGAGGGAAAGATCTGTGGCTTCTGAGCTTCTCTGGGCCCTTCAAGGCCATGGCCCAACCAAGGCGGGACAGCTTGGATTTCATGGGCATCGCATTTGTGCGCATGTTCTGCCTTAGCTGTTGTCGCCCAACTTGAGGCTTTGTGCTTGGGCAGGAGAGACCTCGAGATCTTTGCCCCAGACACCTACCCCCTCCCAGTCACTGGTGGGGGGGCTCAGCTCTGCGACTGAGCCCCTCCTTTGCTCCCGCGAGCTCCCATGTCCCATCCCTGGTAGCATCTCCAGGGAGGACGGGAACATTCTCCTTTGCCGGAGGGCTGCTGTCGATGGGTGCACACAGGGAGACCTGGACGCACTCGAGGGCCGGCGGCTGAAGGAGGCCGGTCCCACTGTGCTGCGAGGACAGGCACGAGACTGGGCCTGGGCAAGGGCAGCGGCGAGGCGCTATGCTTCGCCCACGGGCGGCCCCTCCTTGTGGCGCGGGGCGGGGGGAGGCGCCGGCCGCCCTGCGTGCCCTGGGCGCGCTGCGCTCGCGCGGAGGGGGGCGCTCCGGTGCGGCCAAAGGGTCCGCGCTGGCAGCCGTCCGCGGGCAGCCCTCTGCACCGAGCACGGCTGGCGGCCGCAGGGGCGCGCTCCTCTGCCTGCCCGCTTGCGCGCACGGCCCTCCTGACGTCTCCGTCTGTCTGTCTGTCTGTGTCTGTCCTGGCTCGCAGAGGGAAAATCCTACAGTTCCGACGAGGAAAAGCTGGACCGGCGGCCCGGGGAGGCGGCGGGCAGCAGCGGCAGGGAAGAGGACG